GAGCAGAGGCGCTGAGGGAGGCTGGACCCTCCAAGGGAGCTGGGTCTCAGGAGTGGACAGTGACTCCAAAGTGCCTCTGAACATACCCAAATTAACGCATGGGTAACTCACGCATAATGCCACCAACGACCACTGACACACAGTCACAGCCCAGCCATAACCCAGCCACGCGAGCAGCATAGGTGGCTCACATGCAACCTCACCAGGCCACACACAGGTCTCACCAACCATGCACAACCAAACCTCATCATACACAACCACACCTAGCCATGCACAACCACATCCAGCCATGCACAACCACACCCAGCCATGCACAACCACACCCAGGCATACACAACCACACCCAGCCATGCACAACCACATTCAGCCATGCACAACTACACCCAGGCATACACAACCACACCCGGTCATGCACAACTACACCCAGGCATACACAACCACACCCGGTCATGCACAACCACACCCAGCCATGCACAACCACACTCAGCCATGCACAACCACACCCAGCCATGCACAACTACACTCAGCCATGCACAACCACACCCAGGCATGCACAACCACACCCAGCCATGCACAACCACACTCAGCCATGCACAACCACACCCAGCCATGCACAACCACACTCAGCCATGCACAACCACACCCAGCCATGCACAACCACACCCAGGCATGTAAAACCACACCCAGGCATGCACAACCACACTCAGCCATGCACAACCACACCCAGCCATGCACAACCACACTCAGCCATGCACAACCACACCCAGGCATACACAACCACACCTGGCCATGCACAACCACACTCAGCCATGGACAACCACACCCAGCCATGCACAACCATACCCAGGCATGTAAAACCACACCCAGGCATACACAACCACATCCAGCCATGCACAACCACACCCAGCTAGGCACAACCACATCCAGCCATACACAACCACACCCGGTCATGCACAATCACACCAGGCCACACTCAATCACATATACAACTGACCTGGTGAGGCTACACACAACCATACCTGGCCTGGGCCACACACCAGTCACACTTGCTCCACAACCAAAGGTGAAGCTAAGAGCTGGGCTGCACCAGAGTCCCTCCACGTGCAAACACACCCACTGCTGCTCACACTCACTACACCTTCACCCTCCTGCCAGCAGCAGTCCACGTTGGCCCCACGTGGCTCACACCCAGCCAGGTTCCCAGCCACAGACACACCCACAGGTAATGAGCACACAACCATGTTCGCTTCACACCAGCGCCACCAGTGCCACCAGCCCCGAGATCATTAGCCCTCCCAGCCACTGCTACAACCGGTCACACAACACGCAGCCCCGGGTGCTCCCATACATGCCGACCTGAATCCCTGCACACCCAGCCAACCCTCTCACTCCCGCTGTCACCTCCAGTGGGACCCAGGCTTACACTGTACCAGGATTCATAACCCCAGGTAGTACTGTGTAAGCCTCCTCCGGAAGGGGTCCTGATGGGCCCCAGTAGGTAAATCAGACCTAGGCCTGCCGGATGGGGGTCCCCAGGCTCAGGGAATCCCATCAAACCCTTCCTTGCAGATACCCCAGGATAAGACCTTAGGGAAATTATTGCATCCATTTCCCAGTGGGTAAACTGAGGCTTGAAGCTATCTGAGGGCTATTCCCTGCCTTGCTCCAGGATAATGAAATCATGGACAGAAGGACCTGTTTTCTGCATTGGTGGCACTGCCTCCCCAGACACCACTAAGGCAGAGAGTCCCTGCTGACCCAAACTTGCTGTGTGACTTCAGCAAATCCCTGACCCTCTCTGAGCCTCCCATTTCTCTCCAGAAAAATGCTGAACTCAGCCCAGTTAGGGGAACTCGAGACTCAGACTGGGGTTGACATCCCAGTTCCCTTTGGTGATCTTGGCCAAACGACTTTGCTTTTCTGTGCCTCAGTTTCCCCAAGTGAACCAGAGGAGCTGTTTTTGGATCTTGAGCCCTCCCTGCCCCATTCTCTGTGGTGGGGGTGGGAGCCCCTAGTCTCTCCTCACTCAAGAAAATGAATGGACCATTTTTGGCTGCCCTGCTGGGATCCCAGAGCTGCTAATTCCCTGGAGAAACAGGAGGCTCTTTCATGCCCAGGCGCCAGCGGGGTGAGGAGGCGGGAAGAGGGTATGGAGCTGGCCTCATACCCGTGGGCAAGGAGGCCGAATGCCAAAGCCAGGAGTGGTGTGGAGAGCCCTGGAGCCACGCATATCCTCACTGGGGGGGCCTTGGCTAAGTTGATGTGTCCTTGGCTATAAAATGGGAATGACAGGGACCAGCCATGGAAGGTTTAACGAGCCAGTGGGTGGAGACAGAACGTGGCTTCAAGTCAGATACACAGTGGACTCGTGCACATCAGCTACTGTTGCTACGTGTCAACCTGAAGAACCCACGGAGTTCTCCAACAGTTAATAGAATTCGCCCCACTTCACAGATGAGAAAACTGAGGCTCACAGAGGTCAAGGTGCTTTTCTAAGGTCACACAGCCAATGAGTGGTCCCGCCAGGATTTGAACCAGAACTGAGCTCCCCTGGGTCCCTGCTCTTCCTGACTTCCTCAGGGGGCGAGGTTGCCGCTAGGGTTTCCTGTCACCTGCAGCCCCAGCCCTGAGACCAGCGAAGTTGGGTCTGGATGGCACCAGACTGTCTAAATGTGGAAAGCCCTGGCAGGCAGGGCCTGAAAAGACGACAGGCCTTCTGCTGGTGACCCACTTTGGCCGCCAGCTCCCCCCACCCCCCTCCGCCTGGGGTGGGTTTCAGCAGACGCTAGTAGGATGCCAGGAGGACCATTGCTCCAGCCCTTGAAGAAAGGAGCTGGCTGCCAGACCATTCAGCCAAAGCCAGCAACAGCAGTCTCTTGCCAGTGGCTGCTCTGTCTCGGAACCCTCCATTCAAGCAGAAAGGATGGTGTCCCGCCCTTTCACCAACACCTTCCCGACTTCTCCCGGCCCAGCAGGAAGTGGCTCCACATATTTTATTCAAATTCACGGTCTTTCACCCAATTAGGCCTTTGCTTATGCTAAGCACCCTCCTCACTCCAGATTTTCTCACCCTTGTGAATTCCTGTCCCCCTCATCTGCTATTAAGGTGCAGTTCCAATATCCCCTCTCCCAAGAAGCTCTTCCTCCAGGTAGAGCCCCTGTTCCTCTAGCCCTGTCTCTCCCTCATGGTTAGGAGTGTCTATGTCTACCTCTGTCTTGCCCAGATCGAGGGCTCCTCTGGGACAGGGCCTCAGGCCTCTTGCTGTCCCCATCATCATCCAGCACAGGGCTGGGCATGAGAGTGACAGCAGAGGAGCTGTCTACTGAATCAGTGAACCAAATCTGCAGCCTGGTATCTGAGGCTTTGTGTCAACTGGCTTGGAAAACTCCTGTTCATGCTTCAAAACCCACCTCGCAGGCTGGGCGTTGTGGCTCACCCCTATAATCCCAGCACTTTGGGAGACCGAGGCCAGCAGATCATGAGGTCAGGAGTTCGAGACCAGACTAGCCTACATAGTGAAACCCTGCCTGTACTAAAAAATAGAAAAATTAGCCAGATGTGGTAGCTACTCGAAGTCCCAGCTACTCGAAGCTGTTAAAACGTGTGCTCTGAATGAAGAGATCTCCAAAACAGGCTTTGTGTGAGCAACATGGCTGTTTATTCCCTGGGTGCGGGCAGGCTGAGTTGGAAAAGTGAGTCAGAGGAGGGCAAAGGAATAGGAGTTGGTTTTATAGGTTTGGCGTAAGCAGTGGGAAGTTAGTTTAGGGTGTTTTTTTGCAAGCTGGGAGGGGGTCATGGGTTTGCAAGCTGGGAGAGGGTCATAGGATCTGGAGTCACGAAGTTGACCAAGGTCTCTTACGGTTATAAAGTCCAATGGCCTTGTCAATTGAGGCCGGAATAAGAAACAAGAGAGGAATGTGCCAGGTTAGTTAGGCACCGCAGAGCTTGATGGTCCCTCCACTTTCCAGTTACTTCAGGTTTTCTAATTCCCGAAGGCCCTCCAGAGGTGTATGTGCGCATCACAGGGGTCCCCATGCCGTCCACCGCACGGTCAGACCTTACAAGGCTGAGGCAGGAGAATTGCTTGAACCCAGGTGGTGGAGGTTGTGGTGAGCTGAGATCGCCCCACTGCACTCCAGCCTGGGGAACAGAGCGAGACTCCGTCCCAAAAACCAAGCAAACAAACACCCATCTCGTGTGCCCCCTCCTCCCAGAAGACTTCCTTGATGTCCCAGCAGCATTTTCTGAGAAAGACAAACTTGGAGGCCAGGGCTCCTTTGTCCCAACAAGAACACAAGGGGTTGATGAGGACTTCCGATACATGGAGGCCCTTTCCACAACTCTGCCTTTGGCCTCCGGGAGGCGGTGAAGTTCAGGGATTCTCAGGCTGCATTTGGCAGTTAGGGACTAGACACAGCTGACTTCTCGGAGTGGGAAGAAGGACATCATCATAGGAAGTGTCTCTGGCCAGGTGCAGTGGCTCACGCCTGTAATCCCAGGGCTTTGGGAGGCTGAGGTGGGCCGATGGCTTGAGCCCAGGAGTTCGAGACCAGTCTGGGCAACATGTCAAAACCTTACGTTTAAAAAAAAAAAAATTAGCCGGCCGTGGTGGCGCGCACTTCCCAGTTCCAACTATCGGGGATGCTGAGGTAGGAGGATTGCTGGAGCCTGGGAAGCAGAAGTCCCAGTGAGCCGAGATCGCACCACTGTACTCCAGCCCGGGCGACAGAGTGACACCCTGTCTCAAAAAAAATAAAAATAAAAAAGAAGTCTCTCTCATTCAAAAATCAGTCAAAATCAGCGCTCTACACCTGCAGACGCCCAGGGACAGCGCCCCGCGCGCAGCCAGCCTTTTCCCTACAGCTTCAAGGGAATCAAGGGAAATTCAATCACTGAACCCGGGCCCTTTAAGACGCGGCGGTGAAGGGGCGGGGTCGAATCAAGCCCCGCCTCAAGAGCGACCGCCGTCGGGGCCTCAATTACAACACGCATGCGTGAAGCACACGCGGTTCCGGGTCCCAAGCTTTGGCTCCTAGAGCTGTTTGCAGAGAAACAGGCTCGCACAAAAAGCCACCGCCCCGCAAACCGTGGGAAATCTATTTCCTGTGAAAGGCCGGACCTCCGGTTATTGGCGGTTTCTCTGTTCCCCTCTCCCAAATTTTCCGGCAGGGTACTGATTGAGGCCACATTTAGGACTGGGGCGGGCGAGGGAGTGGCGGTTCTGGTCCTAAGTTATTGGTGAGGACGTGCAGGCCCCGCCGTGGCCAAGATCGCGCCCCCTGTGGCTTGAGGAGGAGCCGGGATTTGAACCAAGGCTGTGCCAAATCCCAAGCCCTGCGAGGTCTTGTGGAAGCGACATGACCCACTCTTTGGTTTGTGCAGAGACAGTGAGCAGGTAAGAGTCTGCGGGGACAGGCCGTGGTGAGGCCCTAAGCCTGGGGTCGAACCCTCTGCGACGCTGAGAGATGGGCTCAGCCTCCTGTTTTCACCCTGATCCTGGTGCCTCCAGGGTGAGTTCGGTGCTGAATCGCAACACCCGGCAGTTTGGAAAAAAACATCTTTTCGACCAGAACGAGGAGACATGTTGGAACTCGGACCAGGTGAGATGCCTCCCTCGACCCTCGGTGGTCTCTGGGTTGACTCAGATTCAGGGGTCCGGGATGCCTTGAGAATGTCAGGGGGCCCTCATGGGTGGCCAGGAAAGGAACATGTGCTGAATTTCTCCTCTCCTCCGGCACTGCCCCCTCCAGAGACTCTGTGAATGAGACAGGCATAGCAGGGCTCTATGCCTGCAGTGAGCTTGTGCCTCACTTTCCCTGTCCGCTTCCAGGGCCCCTCCCAGTGGGTGACACTGGAGTTTCCCCAGCTCATCCGTGTCTCCCAGCTGCAGATCCAGTTTCAGGGTGGCTTCTCCAGTCGCCGGGGCTGCCTGGAAGGTACTAGGAGGCCCTGGGTGGTGGGGGTTCCAGGGGTCACCCCAGACACTCAGTGCCTGTCTCTGCTGCAGGTTCACAGGGCAGTCAGGCCTTTCGCAAGATTGTAGATTTCTACCCTGAGGACAACAACTCGCTCCAGATATCCTGCACTTGCTTCTGGGGTGGGGTGGTCTGTGCCTCTGGAAGTTTTGGACTCACCCAAACCTGAATGGGAACCCCGATGTGTGACCCTGAACATGTGACTCTAAGCCTCCATCACTTTATCTGTAAAATGGGGCTGATGACCACCTGTTCTGTGAGAGAGGCTTAGAGGGGCCTGCAGCCTCCTCAGGTTACCCACCACATCGGTGGAGTCCAAGTTGGGTCTGGGAGGGGTGGGGGCCTGTGGGTGGGACACCAGAAATCACCTGTTGCCCTTGACTGCCCACGCTCACACCTTCCCCATACCAGTTGCTGAGGTGGAACGGCTGAAGGTGACGTTTGAGGATGCCACTGACTTTTTTGGCCGTGTGGTCATCTACCACCTGCGGGTGCTCGGGGAGAAGGTTTGAGACCTCCGGGGGCTGCCTCCTCCAGGAAGCCCTCCAGGAAGCACAGCAAAGTCCCTCAAGTTCTGAACAGAAGGTTTATTGGTTCCTCTTAGGAAGGGTCCCCTCCCACCGCCTGTCCAGGAGCTGCCATTGAAGCCAGTTCTGGGTTTTCCCAGCTCTGGCCGACCGTTTCGTTCCCTGAGTGTCTGAGTCCCCCCACAGGCGGCCTTCACTCAGGGTCAGCGGGTACCAGGTTGCTCTGGAAGAGCTTGAGGATATGGTTCTCGATCACCTGTTGCACTGAGATGGGGCAGGGAAAAGGTGGGCTGTGAGCTTGAATTGGAAGGGGTGCAGAGGTGTGGGCCAACCTGCACTCTCCCCTTAGGGGACAAACAGGGACCCCTACAGAGGCCAGCATTACAGAGCAAGGCTGGAAGGAAGGAGGCCCTATCCCAGGAACCTCACCTTCCCCTAAGTTTGTAAAAAGGCGCTTTTATGGCTTTTCAGAACTACTATTATAAAAATGTTTCCTACCAAGCAAAATGTGTGAATTGTGACTTTTATGAAAAGGTGAGCCTGGGCATGGTGGCTCACACCTGTAATCTCAGCACTTTGGGAGGCCGATGGGGGAGGACTGTTTGAGCTCAGGAATTTGAGGCCAGCTTGGGCAACATAGCAAAACCCTGTCTCTACGAAAAACAAAACAAAACAAAACAAACAAACAAACAAAAAAACAAATTAAAAATTAGGCTGGGCTCAGTGGCTCATGCCTGTAATCCTAGCACTTTGGGAGGCCAAGGTGGGCGGATTACTTGAAGTCAGGAAAGACCAGGTTGGCCAACATGGTGAAACCCCTGTCTTTACTAAAAGTACAAACATGAGCTGGGTGTGGTGGTAGGTGCCTGTGATCTGAATGGGAGGCTGAGGCAGGAAAATTGTTTGCCTGGAAGGCAGAGGTTGCAGTGAGCTGAGATCATGCCACTGCACTCCAGCCTGCATGACAGAGCTAGGCTCTGTCTCAAGAAATAAATAAAATAAAATAAAAAGATTTTAAAAATTAGTTAGGTAGAGTGGTGTGTGCCTGTAGTCCCAGCGACTCAGGAGGCTGAGGCAGAAGGATCGCTTGAGCCCAGGAGTTTGAGGCCAGCCTGGGCAACATAGCAAGACCCTGTCTCTTCCAAAAAAGCAGCAACAAAAAAATTAGCCAGGCAAGTATGGTGGTACGTGCCTGTATGTAATCCCAGATACTCGGGAGGCTGAGGCAGGAGAATCCCTTGAATCCAGGAGGCAGAGGTTGTGGTGAGCCAAGATCGTGCCACTGCACTCCAGCCTGGGCAACAGAGCAAGACACCGTCTCAAAAAAAAACTTAGCCAGGCATGGTAGTGAATGCCTGTGGTCCCAGCTACTCGGGAGGCTGTGGTGGGAGGATCACTTGAGCCTGGGAGGTCAAGGCTGCAGTGAGCTGTGACTGCGCCACCTCATTCCAGCCTGGGCAACAGAGCAAAAACAAAAAACAAAAACAAACCCCCCAGCAAAACAATAGGAGGGACGAGGAATGACTTCAAATAGAGTAAAACTCCAAAGGAAGGAGGGGGCCCTTCTGAAGCCCTTTATCGCCACCATGACCCCAGGGGGTCAGTTCAGTTGGGATTTCCCTATTTTATGGATGGGAAAGTTGAGTCCCGTTGTGACAGAGGAAATGGAGTCACATTGGGTCTGCCTATGGCCCCTGTGCAAACCCACTGCCCGCCATGGAGAGGGGCGGCCTCTGCAGCCCTGTGCACTGTGGCCTGGCTGCCTGCCCCTTGGTGTCCTCATGGCCAGGCCTCCACAGGGGCCGCTTCTCCCACCAGGATGCCATCCCCCCTCCCTTCAGGTCCCCCAGAATCCTTCTCTGACCCCCCATTCCCAAGGCTGGACCCATCTCACTTCTTGGGGTCTCAAGCTTAGACACCTTCCTCCAGGAAGCCCTCCCTGACTTCTGTTGACCACTTTGGGGCTCTTTGATGAGGCCCCCTCTTTGGGCCTCTCTGTGCCTGTGTGTCCCCCATGATGGCCCCAGCCACTGACCCCCCCCCCCCCACTGTCCTCTCTACCCCAGCACATGTGGAGCCCCAAGAGCCAGGACTGGGCTATGCTCAGGCGGGACACACTGCAGTGTTTGACACCTGCTAATGCGAACACTCCCCCGGCTGGCGTCTGACCACTGTGGGGGTGTCCCGTGTACCCCTTTATGGTCACCCTGCCTATGGGAGGGACCCCATCGCTCCTCCGTGAGTCTCAGGCCAACCTTTCCGGTATCCCAGGGCCACAGCAAGGTCCATCGGGGTGTAGCCAGAGTCGGCTTCGGTGGTGAGGTCAGCACCTCGGGCTGCAAGGCAGAGGGGAGGGCGCTGGAGGGTGAGGCCTGGGAATCCAGAATGAGGGCTGGGGACCTGGGAGATTGCGTGGCACCCCTCATTCACCACAGTGCAGCCGTGGGTCTGCCCATGTGGCCATCGACAAGAATCCAACCTCTGCTATCTCGGTCTCCACTGAAGACGTGGCTGAAGAGTCTCAGCCGTGGAGGGTGGAGGTGCTCAGCCTCTTGGCCAGGTCCTAGACCCACACCCCGAATCCTGGGCGGTCCTCCCACCTCCTCCCCTCTGATCCACCCTCCGAGAAGAGCAGGCAGTGACCACCCATCCCAAGAACATTCCAGCAACACCTGGGTGTCTCCCTGCCCTCAGGATTCCCGCAGGGCCCGCTGGAGCGCTGGGACCCCAGGGCCAGTCCCGACTTCCACTCACCCAGCAAGGCCTCAACACATTTCACGTGGTTCCCCCGCACAGCGTACAGCAGTGGCGTCCCTCCATTCTGTCGTGGGTAGGGGCAGGAGAAACCAAAATTTACCTCTTCCCGATTCTCACAATGCCTTGTACTATCTCTGGCCTCCAATTTAATATGGTTCCTCCTCCTGCTCATCACTGGGCCCATCTCCCTTCTTGGGGTCTCAAGCTTAGACACCTTCCTCCTGGAAGCCCTCTTTGACTTCCCTTGGCCACACTGGGCTCCTGAAGCTGCCTGTGCATCTGCCATCACAGCGCACTTCACGGCATCTGAGCTGCCTGTTTGCATTGTTTCCATGCCTGCCTCCCCCGCACCGGGAGCTCTGTGAGGCTAGGACTGGGGCTGTCTCGTATTCTCGGCACACAGAGCAGGCCTGCACCTTTCCGGTGCTCTGTGAACGTTTGAGGCAGGAATGGAGGCCAGGAGGCTGAGAGGCGCCCGGGGCTGGCAGTCCCTCACCCAGTCGTAGATGTTGATGTCCACGTCTCGCTCCAACAGCAGTCCCACGATGTCTGTGTAGCCGCCTGTGCTGGCCAGCGACAGGGCGCTCTCTCGCTCTTTGGCCAGAATGTGGGGGTCGGCACCCTGCAGGGACGGGAGCAGTGGTGGGATGGGCTGGGACCTAACCAGGAATCCTGGGGTACCTACGACAGCCACATCTTTTTTTTTTTTTTTTGAGACGGAGTCTTGTTCTGTTGCCCAGGATGGCGTGCAGTGGCACAATCTCAGCTCACTGCAACCTCTGCCTCCTGGGTTCATGCGATTCTCCTGCCTCAGCCTCCCGAGTAGCTGGGACTACAAGCGCCCGCCACCGCGCCCTGCTAATTTTTTGTATTTTTAGTAGAAACAGGTTTTCCCCGTGTTAGCTAGGATAGTCTCTATCTCCTGACCTGGTGATCTGCCCGCCTCGGCCTTCCAAAGTACTGGGATTACAGGCGTGAGCCACCGCACCCGGCCAGCGGTGGAGTTTCATATGTTGGCCGGGCTGGTCTCAAACTCCTGACCTCAAGTGATCTGCCTGCCTCTGCCTCTCAAAGTGCTGGGATCACAGCTGTGAGCCACTGCGCCCCCGCCAGCAGCCACATCTCAAAGACAAGGCACAGCAGACATAGCCAAGACCCCAGCCCACCCTAAGGTCCCCAGGAATACCCCAGCTGGGCTGGGACGCACCCACTCCAGCAGGAAACGAACAGTCTCGATCTCTCCAAAGGCCGAGGCCCAGATGAGGGGGGTGAAGCCGCGCTCGTCCGGCTTGTTGATGAGGTTGTCACCTGGCAGGAGGGGGCAGGTGGTACCACCAGGCTGCACCCCTGCCCCCTATCCCTAGGGCTGCCACAGGGGACGAGGTGGGGGCTGGGGTTAGACAGGGGAACGGCAGGGGAGCATACACTGATGGACATACATGGACATCACACACACAGGTAGATACAGGCGCACGTGGACACTCACAGGTCATGTGAGCATCGTGGATGGGCACGGACACTCATATGCACACACCAGCCAGGCGTGGACATGCCAGCACATGCGTGTGACACGCACCTTTCCGCAGATGCTCCTTCAGCTGGTCCAGCTCCCCCTGCGCTGCGAGCTGGTGGATGGACAGGGCTGGGGCAGGACAGAGGCAGAGTCCTGACTCATCCCCTCGCTTCTCTGTGCCTCAGTTTACCCTCTGTCCACGATTGCGCCTCACAGGCCCTCCCACCCTCCTACTCCTCTCCTTGCTGGGGACTGTGGGCCCACTCACAGTCTAGGGTGGCCGGCAGAGCCGACACTTCGTTCCCCCGCTGCCGGTTGGTGAGAGTGGTGGAGTGCTTCAGGGAGCTGCCTGCTGGGAGAGACATGACAGGCCTCAGTTTCCCCTGGGTAGATGTCTCTGGGGCTTGACAGAAGCCCATCCGTTTTTTGTTGTTGTTGTTTTGAGACGGAGTCTTTCTCTGTCACCTAGGCTGAAGCGCAGTGGTGCAATCTCAGCTCACTGCAACCTCTGCCTTGTGGGTTCAAGTGATCCTCCTTCCTCAGTCTCCCGAGTAGCTGGAATTACAGGTGCCCGACACCACGCCCGGCTAATTTTTGTGTTTTTAGTAGAGATGGATTTCACCATGGTGGTCAGGCTGGTCTCAAACTCCTGACCTCGTGATCCGCCCGCCTCGGCCTCCCAAAGTGCTGGGATTACAGGTGTGAGCCACCATGCCCGGCCTTTGGTATCTCCCTTGGGTCTTGGCGCTATAAAAGGCAGGGCCTGGGGCTCCACCATTCACTCACTCTACTCTCTTGAATACCCAGCATGCATATCTCTCCTCCCTGCCTTGCAGTGTTCTAGACAAACATGACATAGTTTTTGCCCTGTAGGGAGTCCAGGGTCAAGTAGGTGCATCAGGTATAGAGAAATAATAAAAAACTTCAAGTGGAAATAAGTGTTCAAAAGAACTTAAGGCCGGGCACGGTGGCTCACACCTGTAATCCCAGTATTTTGGGAGACCAAGGTAGGCGCATCACTTGAGGTCAGGAGTTTGAGACCAGCCTGACCAACATGGCTAAACACCGTTTCTACTAAAAACACAAAATTAGCTGGAAGTGGTAGCAGACGCCTGTAAGCCCAGCTACTGGGGAGGTTGAGACAGGAGAATCGCTTGAACCCGGGAAGCAGAGGTTGCAGTGAGCCAAGATCGTGCCATTGCACTCCAGCCTAGGCGACAAGAGCAAAACCCCATCACACACACACACAAAGAATTTAAAAGCAGGTCACAGAGGACAGAAAGAAGGGAGCACAAGGAATGAGTCATTCTTAGACGAGGCGGTAAGAGGAGGGCCTCCTCAAGGTGACACCACCAAGATCTTAAGAAGTCAAAGAAATCAGTTACAGGAACTGGACACGGTGGCTCACACCTGTAATCCCAGCACTTTGGGAGGCTGAGGCGGGCGGATCACGAGGTCAGGAGATTGAGACCATCCTGGCCAACACGGTGAAACCCTGACTCTAAAAAAAAAAAAAAAAAAAAAAAAAAATTAGCTGGTGTGGTAGCACACGCCTCTAATCCCAGCGACTCGGGAGGCTGAGGGAGAATTACCTTAACCCAGGAGACGGAGGTTGCAGTGAGTCAAGATAGTGCCACTGCACTGCAGCCTGGGCAACAGTGCAACACTCCATCTACTCCGTCTCAAGAAGAAAGGGGACTCCATCTCAAGAAAGGAGGGAACGGGAGGGGAGAAATCACCTATAGGAAGAGCATTCCAGACAGAAGGAGTGGCAGCAACAAACGTCCTAGGAGGGAACTGAATTAGGCATATTCTAGGACTCCAATCAAAAATAAATCCTCAGGGCCAGGCATGGTGGCTCAGGCCTCTAACCCGAGCACTTTGGGAGGCCAAGGCGGGTGGATCACAAGATCAGGAGTTCCAGACCATCCTGGCCAACATGGTGAAACACCATCTCTATTAAAGATACAAAAATTAGTCGGGCATGGTAGCGTGCTCCTGTAATCCCAGCTACTTAGGAGGCTGAGGCCAGAGAATTGCTTGAACCCGGGAGGCGAAGGTTGCAGTGAGCCAAGATGGAGCCATTGCATTCCAGCCTGGGCGACAGTGAGATTCTGTCTCAAATAAATAAAATAAAAATAAAACCAAAAATAAATTCTCGGTTCCTGAGTAAGTAAAGCAGGATGACCGTCTGACCCAGCAATTCCATTCCTAGCTATCTACCCTCAAAGAATTAAAAATAGGTGTAAAAGGCCGGGCGCTGTGGCTCATGTCTGTAATCCTCACACTTTGGGAAGTGGAGGCCAGCAGATCACTTGAGCCCAGGAGTTCCAGACCAGCCTGGGCAACATGGCAAAACCCCGTCTCTACAAAAAATACAAAAATTAGCTGGGCGTGGTAGTGCACGCCTGTAATCCCAGCTACTTGAGAGGCTGAGGCATGAGAATCAGTTGAACCGGGGAGGCGGAGGTTACAGTGAGCCGAGACTGCGCCATTGCATTCCAGCCTGGGCAGCAGAGTGAGACTCTGTCTCAAAGAAAAAAAAAAAAAAAAGGAAGGAAGCACTGATCCATGCTATGACGTGGATGAACCCTGAAAACATGATGCTGAGTGAGAGGGGCCAGACATAAAAGGCCGCTGCATAGTGTATGATCCCACTGGTATGAAATGCCCAGAACAGGAAAAGCTAAATAGATAGAAGCAGATTGGTTGCCAGGGATGGATGGAAGGAGAATGGAGAGGGGCTGCTATGGTATGGGGTTTCATTTTGGAGTGATGAAAATATTCTAGATAGGCCGGGCGCGGTGGCTCACGCCTGTAATCCTAGCACATTGGGAGGCCGAGGCGGGTGGATCATGAGGTCAGGAGTTCAAGAGCAGCCTGGCCAACATGGTGAAACCTCATCTCTACTAAAAATACAAAAATTAGCCAGGCATGGTGGCTCATTCCTGTAATCCCAGCTACTTGGGAGGCTGAGGCAGGAAAATTGCTTGAAACCCAGGAGGCGGAGGTTGCAATGAGCCCAGATTGCGCCACTGCACTCCAGCCTGGGCTATGGAGCCAGACTCCATCTCAAAAAAAGAGAAAATACTCTAGATAGAGGTGATGGTTATGGAACACTGTGAATGTACTTACTGATACTGAATGGTACAGCAATCCTAGTTTAAGTGGCAAACTTTTATGTTATGTATAGTTTACCACAATAAAAAAATACATACAAAGTTGCAAAAAAAAAGAAACAAACCCTTACTAAATGGAGAGGGAAGACATGTCCTATTAGTGGATCATAAAGACAGAGACCCTGGCCTGGAGTGGTGGCTCACGCCTGTAATTTCAGGACTTTAGGAGGCTGAGGCAGGAGGATTGCTTGAGGCCAGGAGTTCGAGACCAGCCTAGGCAACATAATGAGACTCTGCCTCTCAATAAAAAAAAAATTAGCCAGGTATAGTTGCATGCCTACAGTCCCAGCTACTAGGGAGGCTGAGTGAGGTAGGAGGATGGCTTGAGCCCAGGAAGTTGAGGCTGCAGTGAACTACGATCACACCACTGCACTTCAGCCTTGATAACAGAGCAAGACCCTGTTTCAAAAAACAAAACGGGCCAGGCACGGTGGCCCATGCCTGTAATCCCAGCACTTTGCGGGGCTAAGGCAGGCAGATCACCTCAGATCAGGAGTTCGAGATCAGCCTGGCCAACATGGTGAAACTCCATCTCTACTAAAAATACCAAAAAAATTAGCCAGGCGTAGTGGCGGGCACCTGTAATCCCAATTACTCAGGAGACTGAGACAGAAGAATCGCTTGAACCTGGGAGGCAGAGGTTGCAGTGAGCTTAGATCATGCCATTGCACTCCAGCCTGGGCAACAGAAGTGAAACTGTCTTTTTTTTTTTTTTTTTTTTTTTTAAAAAAAAGCAAGATTGTGGGCCTAACATGGAATCCCAGTGGGCCAATCCCAGAGGAAGTATCCTACCCTGCGGAGAGGAAATGCTGGCATCTGGTTCAGGATTCACAGGCTCAGGGGTGCAGGGGAAGAGACTGAGCACCACAGTGTCTGAGCCATCTGCGGCCTCCTCTCCGGTGTCTTCAGAGTCCCCAAGTTCTGAGGCAGGGGGCTGCTGGGTCAGGATGAGGTCCTCTGCAGGCTGGGTGGGCTCCATGGGGAAAGCTGGCGAAGGGGCCATTAGGGGAGAGATGACGATAATTATCAACAGCTATCATAAAGTAGGCATCGACCACATACCCAGCCTTGCACTGTGAGGCTGGGTAAACTGAGGTCAAGGTTAATTGCCAGGGCCAGGGAAACTAAAACCAGAGTCCAACGGCTTTCCAGGTCTACCCTTTCCCACTACCAAAGAAACTGCAATGTGCAATGTTTAAAAGCCCGGGCTCTGGGGTCAGCTGAGTTCGAATCCCTCAATTTATAGGCCGTGACAACTTGGGCATGTGACTTAACCTTTGAGCCTCAGTTTCCTCCTCGACAAAATGTGGAAATGAGGCCTACAACGAAATCATGTCTGTACATAGCTTATCAGGGTGGTCTGCTGAGGGCAGAGCTCAATAAACATTCACTATGGTTATTGGGGGGTAGTCCCCATAATGAGTGAGGGCTCAACAACGATGCGATTGGTCCCAGTCGCACCCGAGCCTCCCAAATCGATCCAAGAGATCCACTCACCTCCCCACGAGCCTCTTGTGTCCCCCCGCGCCGAAAGCCCAGTTCTCTCAAAACTTGGGGACCCAAGTCACAAACTTTTCTCTTCTTATGGATATAGTGGGAGGCAGGCTGGAGGCTGGACCCTCAGCACTCGGGCTTCCTCGGCCGGGACAGAAAGCAACTTGATACTCGACCGCTACCCCCACCCCAGAACTCCCTCACTGCGCGTGCGCACCCCCGCCCCCCAAAAATGAGGAACGGCCCGAGCAGTAAAGTGCTGCCTCTGGCCCTTTAAGACTTAGTGGAGGGAGTGGCTTCCGCTGGGGCCCTAGGAGGGCATTTGCGCCTGCGTGGTCTTTCCACCCTCCCAAGGAGGGAATGGGCGGGGCCTAAAGGGCTCTGAGAATGGCACTGCGCTGGTGCGTGCTCGCCTTCACCCCGCCCACAAATTTTTCCAGAGGGAGCCGAGGGGCTCCGGCTTTGGGCAGATGGGCGGGGCTTTTTCCAGAAGAAGAAGTAGGGGAAGTACGCGGGGCGCCCGGATCTTAAAGGGGCAAGGCGCCTTCGCCGTCCCGTTCCACAACAGGCTCCCTTCTGTTGGGACAACTGAATTCCTCTTAAAGACTCAACTTTCTGCTCATAAGTTGTAAATCAATCCTATCCCCGCCCCGTCTGTTTTTCGCAAATCGCGGGTTTACCCTGTTTGGAAAGGTCTAAGTCTTAGCCAATCGGGATCAGCTTAGATTGTGTGGTCCGACGGCAGCCAATAGGGGAAGGACACAGAAACAGGAACTGCGTGCGGAGTCAAAACGCTTTTCCCTCCTTTGTTCCGCGTGGCTTGCGGCTGCGTCGGGGGCCGCCTCCCGCTTCTGCACAAGTCACCGTACCTTGCTGAGAATTTTTCTAAGTGCGGGATTCTTTCGGTTACCCCGAGCGCTAGTTTCCGACACATTTGGGGATTCGTCCGGGATCCTATTCTCCTTCGGGAGGGGCTGGCGATGTTCTGTTCTCGGGAGACGTGTCCCCACTGCCTCCTTGTGGTGGCCCCAGGAGGGGAGGACGGAGTCCCGCCCGAAGTGATGATAAATCCGGACTCTCAGCAACGTGGGCAATAGGGAGGATCTTGAAGAATTCCACCGCGACCAGGTAACTGTGCACAGACCGAGGTAAGAAACGTCGCGGTGGGGGCGGAAAGGTATTCCTTGGTGGTCGGGGGCTCTGGAGGTGGAAAGTGTGGGAGTGAGACGCGCGATTGGGCGCGAAGCGAGTGCGCAGTCCGGACTTTGTTCCGTGGCCACTTCTTACGGTGCGGGGTGGAGGGGGGATTTTACTGACCGGCCAATAATGAGAGGGGCCTAAAATTCCCTGGAAGGAAGCGGCCAATAAGGAAGAAATGAGTGTTCACAAGAGTGCACAAAACCTCCAGTGAGAAAAGGGGAGTTTAAGCCTCTAGGATACGGGAGTCCAAGAAATCTAATACGAGAGGTTGAACGTCACCAACCTCCAGGATGGGAAATACTCCAAGTAAGACAGGGAATATAAAAAGGCCAAGCAGACAATAAAATTACCCCAACAGCCCCCCAGGCCTTATGTTTAAATACTGATGGATAATGAAAGGACCAAACACTAGAAAAGACAGGAGATGATGAAGTATTGCTGTTTTATTTGGACTAAGGAACCCATCCTCAGACCTTCGGTCTTTTGGCCAAAGTTTGGGTCGGCAAGGACTGGATATGCCAGCTCCTGATCCAGTATGTCAATGACAAAAGTCCAGTTTCTCAAGAGGAGATAGGTTGTGCTCTGTGCTGGAGGCAAGGACCTGCCCTTCTCTATCCCCTAAAAGACGGAAAAAGCAGTCAAACTCAAAACCCCCAAAGACGACCTAGCTAAGTCATATTATATATCTAAAGATGCAGGGGATCCTCTAGGCCACCTTCCCTCACCTACCCCTTGTACCCCTGCGCCCCAAGCTAAACACTCAGCCCTTCCTCCACCTGCCCCACTGTCTCAGGCTGAACCATCAGTCCCTCCCCCATATAACCCTGCCCCATGGGCCTTGACACTCACACCCTCCCTGGACAGCAACCTGAATATGCTCCTTCCTCAGGAAAGCTTCAGTGGGAAATAGAACAGTGCTGAAGAGATATTAAAACTTAACTGTCGTGGACCGTCCGGGACGGGTAGGCACGTCTGCCCGGGGGTCTCTCGACCTGCAAGAGGGTCCCAATACCTGGAAGAGGGAGTGCGCCTGGAAAAATAATAAAGACAGAGAGAGAGAAAGCGAGGCGTCTGGAGGGCTGATAGGCTGTGCCTAAACAGCAAATTTTATTTTTCAAAGGCCAGGAATAAATACACTTTCTTGGCTTTGGTTTACGTCATAGTAAGAGGAATGTAAATGTATGCCTCACATGGCCTATACAATAGAGAAGTCAGATATGCGATCAATGGTTGTAAAAAGTAACAAAATTTTCTACAATCACAAAGTTTGTTTGCATCCAAACATTATTCACAAAGCTTGTTTATATCCAAACATTATTCACAGACTTGTTTATATCCAAACATTGTTCAGGAGACTTGTTTATATCCAAACATTATTCAGGAATCTCTGAGTCAGGAATCCAAGCCATCCCTTATGGTGGCATTTTTCTTTGCAAATATCGACAGTTAAACCATTATCTAGGGTACAAGGCAGTTAGGTAAGTAAAGGTCAAAACTGATTCTTAAAGTCATAAAAAGGTTAAAAGCAGGAACTGGTTGCTGGTAGGGGGTTACTCCGTCTAGCAGCAACGCATAGTTTTAGGCCCAAACGATATTGTGGTTGATATTAGAAACTGATCATTCATCTTTCTTCCTATATTTCCGGATAGCTCGACTGCCTCCAGTAGGAAACTGTGTTTGGGATCAAACTCACCGTATAGTGAGACTCACGCCTTTTAGGGGTCTCACACGGGAGTGTTCCCCACACTTAACTTTCTCCTCTTCCTCCAAGTCTGCCCTAGCCCCTTTTCCCTTAAGGGACGTGCCATTAGGAGGAGGGGATGTTGGCTTCATAAATGTCCCCTTAACTAGTTCAGAGGTTAGAAATTTTAAAAAGCAACTCAAACCACTGTTAGATGACCCTTTGGGAGTTGAACATCAAGTTGACCAGTTTCTAGGGCCACAACTTTACACTTGGGCTGAATTAATGTCTATTCTAGGTATTCTCAGTAAAGAAAAGAAACGTGATCCGCAGGGCTGCTATGACGCTTGGGGAGGATGAGCACCCCCTGGTCCAGGACATTTTAAGAGGGAAAAGAAAGTCTTTTCACTCGTGACATTTGAAGAAGAGTGGGGTCAGGGGCTCCACATCTTCCATCTCTCCCACCAGGAGCCCTTCATAAATCTAACCGTGGGACCCAAATTGGAGGCAGTCACTTTGTTAGTCGATTCGAAAGCAGGTTGCTCCTTGTAGACGACCTCACTGTCTCAGGAGTTAAAGGGGAAGGATTCCAGGCAACAGTTCTAGAGGAAACCAAAGTCAAATATAAGAATAAGTCGGGCCGGGCGCGGTGGCTCAAGCCTGTAATCCCAGCACTTTGGGAGGCCGAGGCGGGTGGATCACGAGGTCAAGAGATCGAGACCATCCTGGTCAACGTGGTGAAACCCCATCTCTACCAAAAAAAAAAAAATACAAAAAATTAGCTGGGCATGGTGGCACGTGCCTGTAATCCCCGCTACTCAGGAGGCTGAGGCAGGAGAATTGCCTGAACCCAGGAGGCGGAGGTTGCGGTGAGCCGAGATCGCGCCATTGCACTCCAGCCTGGGTAGCAAGAGGGAAACTCCGTCTCAAAAAAAAAAATAGAAAAATTAGCCAGGCATGATGGCATGCACCTGTAATCCCAGCTACTTGGGAGACTGAGGCAGGAGAATTGCTTGAACCCGGAAGGCAGAGGCTGCAGTGAACCAAGAGCGCTCCGTTGCACTCCAGCCTGGGCAACAGAGCAAGACTCTGTCTCAAAAAATATATATATGAAGCTATCTTATTAGAGGGGGATAACCTAACACTAACCACTGATAATTCACTCAGCCCTGCTGCTTTCCTGTCGGGAAATCCAAACCAGGAAGAACCTGAGCATCAATGCATAGATCTAATCAGTTCAACTAGAGTCAGACTGGGTCTGAGCGAAACCCCCTTCCAAACAGGGCATCGCCTCTTTATAGACGGCTCCTCCCGGGTCACTGAAGGAAAAAGGTGCAACGGGTACTCCGTAGTTGATGGGGAAACCCTCACAGAGGTGGAGTCCGGAAGAATGCCAAATAACTGGTCTGCCCAAACGTGAACTCCGCATTAAACCAAGCCTTAAAATCCCTGCAGAAGCAGGAAGGAACTGTTTACGCGGACTCTAACTATGCCTTCGGAATAGTCCATACCTTTGGAAAGATCTGGACTGAATGAGGCCTCGTTAAAAGTAAGGGCAAAGGTTTGGTCCGCAAGGAATTAATTATTATGCCTCACTAAGAATCTGAACTGCCCCACAAAAGATCTTGGCCTGTCCCCCTTATGAAATGCTCTAGGGGCTGTCTGATCTAAATTCCACTACTGACCTTCCTACATTTGAAACAAAAGATCAGTTTCTCAAAAACTAAATATTTGGTTTGTCTCCTACCCTTTCCGCTCTCAGGACTCAAGGCCTCCTAGCGCAAAGTCCACCTCTCGAAATCCCAGTACGCCAGCACCAGCTTGGAGATCGAGTCCTTATCAAAAGTTGGAAAGAGGGCAGGCTGGAACCAGCCTGGGAGGGGCCTTACATAGTCTCCTGACCACTGAAACAGCAATCCAAACAGCTGAAAAAGGATAGGCCCATCCCTCGGCCAAGTGCGGTGGCTCACACCTGTAATCCCAGCATTTTGGGAGGCTGAGGCGGGTGGGTCATGAGGTCAAGGGATCAAGACTATCCTGGCCAACATGGTGAAACCCCATCTCTTCCAAAACAAAATTTAGCTGGGCGTGGTGGCACATGCCTGTAGTCCCAGCTACTCAGGAGGCTGAGGCAGGAGAATGGCTTGAACCCAGGAGGCGAGGTTGCAGTGAGCTGAGATTGTGCCACTGCATTCCAGCCTGGCAACAGAGCGAGACTCCACCCCTCGAATTCCCAACACCAGCGTTGAGATCACATTCTTATAAAAGTTGGAAAGAGGGAAAGCTCGAACCAACCTGGGAGGGACCTTACCTAGTACCCCTAACGACTGAAACAACAGTCCAAACAGCTGAAAAAGGATGGGCCCACCCCTCGCCAGGAGCGAGACTCCCTCTCTTAAAAAAATAATACGCTGCACCGTGCTGTGGCGCACGCTTGTAATCCCAGCACTTTGGGAGGCCAAGGTGTGCGATTGCCTGAGCTCAAGAGTTTGAGACCAGCCTGGGCAAATAATAATAATAATAATAATAATAATAATAGGCCGGGCACGGTGGCTCAAGCCTGTAATCCCAGCACTTTGGGAGGCCGAGGTGGGTAGATCACGAGGTCAAGAGATCGAGACCATTCTGGTCAACATGGTGAAACCCCGTCTCTACCAAAAATACAAAAACATTAGCTGGGCATGGTGGCATGTGCCTGTAATCCCAGCTACTCAGGAGGCTGAGGCAGGAGAATTGCTTGGACCCAGGAGGCAGAGGTTGCGGTGAGCCGAGATCGTGCCATTGCACTCCAGCCTGGGTAACAAGAGCAAAACTCCGTCTCAAAAAAAAAAATTAATAAAGGTCCCACCCCTTGCAAAGTCCTAGATTGTCACTCCAGCACCAACGGCCTCCAAACTGACATATTCAAAGAGGTTTAATCTTTTTCTTCCTTTAGCTACTCAGGGACATCTTATTGATGTAATCCGATCATCCTCCCCCCACAAGCAATTACATTAGATGCCTGTCTTGTCATGCCCTGTGGGGATCTCCGAAGTCAGAGACAGCTAGCCTCTTCAGAGAAGTACCTTTGTCCCTCCAGGATAAATCACACTGCCTGCAAAACTGACTCAGGACTGAATGGGCATGAACCTGGCGTTGGTGGTTTTGCTGTACTTGGGGAGATGTTATGTCGACTACCAAGTATCAGGGCTAGACCTCCTCAGAGGGGTGTACCACCCTAAAACCCTACCTCCACTGCACCAAAGGAACCACCCCCTCCAATTGCCAGTCTCACCATTGCAACTGGTACTTGCCTCAATACTCCGCCCTACACCCACTTTAGAACGCTTTTGCAGCGCAGGACCGGATGTCACTGGAGAGGACCCTATAGGCTTCTTTGAAATGCACTTTGTTCCTCCTCCTGTATCTTCCACTGTTACTGCCTCCCCAAACCCACAAAATCAAACCATTTCTCGCTTTGTGTCCAGTGACAAAACCAAACTAGCTAGTAGAAGTCAAGGACTTGAAGCAAACCCTAGCCATAGAAACTGGGTATCCAGATGTAAATACAGCCGGGTGAAGTGGCTCGTGCCTGTAATCCACTTTGGGAAACCAAGGTGGGCAGATCATCTGAGGTCGGGAGTTTGAGACCAGCCTGGCCAACATGGTGAAACTCCATCTCTACTAAAAATAAAAAATTAGCTAGGCATGGTGATGGGCACCTGTAGTCCCAGCTACTTGGGAGGCTGAGGCAGAGAATCACTTGAACCCGGGAGGCGGAGCCTGCAGTGCGCTGAGATGCCGCCATTGCACTTTAGCCTGGGCAACAGAGTGATACTCCCTCTCCAAAAAAAAAAAAATTTTATATATATATATATATATATATATATATATATATATATATATATATAAAATGCCTGGCTGAAATGTATTAAATATTCTGTTTGCACCCCTAAATAAAAGCCATTGCTACACTTGTGCAGCGGGCAGGCAAGAAACCCAAATTGCTCCTTTCCCACTTGGATGTGCCAACCACCCAGGCGTGGGCTGTTCGGGAGCTCCCTTCCAGCACCCCACAGCCTGGGGAAACAAGATATGGGCCACTCTTCACTATTTCCCCAAAGGTCAGCCCCCAAGGGCTGTTTTACTTCCAGCTCTCCGTGCCAGTTTTACCTCAGGTCTCTCATGGCAAGGGGAAATTTTGACAGTTCTTGGAAGCCCGATGGGGTGTAGTGTGCCTAAACTTTTTCAAGAGCTAATCAGGCCGGGCGCAGTGGCTCAAGCCTGTAATCCCAGCACTTTGGGAGGCCGAGGTGGGTGGATCACGAGGTCAAGAGATCGAGACATCCTGGTCAACATGGTGAAACCCCGTCGCTACTAAAAATACAAAAAATTAGCTGGGCATGGTGGCGCGTGTCTGTAATCCCAGCTGCTCAGGAGGCTGAGGCAGGAGAATTGCCTGAACCCAGGAGGCGGAGGTTGCAGTGAGCCGAGATCGCGCCATTGCACTCCAGCCTGGGTAACAAGAGCGAAACTCCGTCTCAAAAAAAAAAAAAAAAAAAAAAAAAAAAAAAAAAAAAGAGCTAACCAATCAGTTGGCCGTAGTCCATCCCTGAGTGGATGCATGGTGGTATTGTGGGATTGTGGGGAACCGATATTGGGTACGCTGCCAGGCGACTGGTTGCACTCAGATCCAATTGGCCATCCCTTTCACCTTGGCATTTCATCAGCTAGACAGGGAGCCATTAACCTGAAGAAAAAGAAGTCCCTCATGGGTCCTTGGACCCCCGTCTTTACGTAGACAGCATTGGAGTCCCACGGCTGTACCAAATGAAGTCAAAGCTTGAAACCAAATAGACTTCGCGTTCCAGTCTGTCTTATTCTGGTGGTCCACTATACACGAAAATGTAGACTGGATAAATTATATATACTACAATCAGCAGCGATTTGTCAGTGATACCAGAGATGCTATCAAAGGAATAGCTGAACAATTAGGCACTACCAACCAGATGGCCTGGGAAAATAGAATAGCCCTTGACATGATGTTAGCTGGAAAAGGGGGAGTCTGTATCATGATTGGGGTCCAGTGTTGTACTTTTATCCCTAATGAAACAGCCCCCAACAGGACAATCACAAAAGCCTTGCAAGGCCTTACCACCCTAGCAAATGAGTTAGCCGAAAACTCTGGAAAAGACGACCCCTTTACGGGCCTGATGGAAAGAAAGGTGGTTTGGAAAATGGACGGGACTCGTGACCTCAATCTTTACCTACCTTGCTATTGTTACGGATGTTCTCATCCTTGTGGGCTGCTGTATCATACCTTGTATTCGTGGGTTAACCCAAAGGCTCATAGAAGCAGCTCTCACAAAAACCTTCCCCACCTCCCCACCTGGGTAAGCTGTTGCTCCTAGATAATCAACAAGAACAAAGCCAAATCCTGTTGAAGAAATTTGAAGAGGAAGAAATACATAAAACGGAAGAAGGGAAATAGTTGGGACAACTAAAGTCCTCTTAAAGACTCAACTTTTTTGGTCCTAAGTTGTACATCAGTCCTACTTCCCCCCACCCCCTACTTCTGTTTTTCGCAGATCGCGCGTGTACCCTGTTTGGCAGAGTTAATCGGGATCAGCTTAGATGGTGAGGTCTGACCCCAGCCGACGGGAAGGACACAGGAACGGGAACTGCGTTAGGATCAGGAACGTCCCTCTGGTCTGTGTGCTCTTGGGATTGTAACGCGCAAGCAGCGCCCCTCTGCGGAAGTAAAGGTGCCTTGCTGATAAGTTTTCTGTCTAAGTGCGAGATTCTTTTGGCTACGCCACCGAGCACTGGTTTCAGACATAAGCAAGGGGAGGGATTCCATCAGGGCAGAGGGCTAAAGAAGAGTTTATGCGGGCCGGGCGCGGTGGCTCACGCCTGTAATCCCAGCACTTTGGGAGGCCGAGGCGGGTGGATCACGAGGTCAAGAGATCGAGACCATCGTGGTCAACATGGTGAAACCCCCCCCCCCAAAAAAAAAAATTAGCTGGGTGTGATGGCACGTGCGTGTAGTTCCAGCTACTCAGGAGGCTGAGGCAGAACTGCTTGAACCTGGGAGGCAGAGGCTGCAGTGAGCCGAGATCGCACCACTGCACTCCAGCCTAGGTGACAGAGCAAGACTCCATCTCAAAAAAAAAAAAAAAAAAAAAAAAAGAGGCCAGGCGCGGTGGCTCAAGCCTGTAATCCCAGCACTATGGGAGGCCGAAGCGGGTGGATCACGAGGTCGAGAGATCGAGACCATCCTGGTCAACATGGTGAAACCCCGTCTCTACTAAAAATACAAAAATCAGCTGGGCATGGTGGCGCGTGCCTGTAATCCCAGCTACTCAGGAGGCTGAGGCAGGAGAGTTGCCTGAACCCAGGAGGTGGAGGTTGCGGTGAGCCGAGATCGCGCCATTGCACTCCAGCCTGGGTAACGAGTGAAACTCCGTCTCCAAAAAAAAAAAAAAAAAAAAAGGAGTTTATGCGGCCCAGTGGGTAATGTATGGAGGGCTCCCCCAACTCGTCTGCTCCAGAAAAATGGGGGTCAGGAAGGAAGGGAGTTCTTGCCCCTCCTCCAGCCTGAGAGGCGTCCCGCTCCCTCCTCACCCCGTCACCCCCGGGTGTGCCTCCTTCCCGCCGTCTCACACCGGAACTGGAGTCGTGCGGCATCCGGTTTCCGCAGGGAAGGCTTAGGCGGCCGGTCCCAGCCTCCTGTTCCGGTCCCGTTCTTCGGTTTGCCAGGCCGTGGTCGCTATGGAGGAACCGGAGATGCAGCTGAAGGGGAAGAAAGGTGGTGTGGTCCTCAGGGTGGGACAGGGGGCCCGGGAACTCGCGGAGGGGCGGCCTGAAAAAGGCCGGGCGCGGAGGGACCGGGCAAAGAGCAGTGACTGAATTGCGGTCAATTCTGTCGGCTGGGCCGCTGGCTAGTTTTGAAACCTGTAGAAAGGCTCGGTGTCTAGTTTTGTCATCTGTAAAATGAGGGGTATAATTACCCGTCCCCCCAGGATTGTTTCAAGAATCCGGTATGTGAGGCTGGGAGTGGTGGCTCAAGCCTGTAATCGCAGCACTTTGGGAGGCCTAGGCGGGAGGATCGCTTGAGCCCAGGAGTTCTAGGGCTCAAGTGACTCCTGACTCGGGGTCAGGAGTTCGAGACCCCCAAAAAAGACAAAAATTAGCCGGACGTGGTGGCGCACGCCTGTGGTACCAGCTACTCGAGTGGCTGAGGTGGGAGGATCGCTTGAGCCTAGGAGTTCTAGGGCTCAAGTGACTCCTGACTCGGGGTCCGGAGTTCGAGACCCCCAAAAAAGACAAAAATTAGCCGGACGTGGTGGCGCACGCCTGTGGTACCAGCTACTCGAGTGGCTGAGGTGGGAGGATCGCTTGAGCCTAGGAGGTCGGGGCTGCAGCGCAGTGGGCTATGATCGTGCCACTGCACCCCAGGCTGGGCGATACAGTAAGACCCTGTCTTAAAACAAACAAACAAAAAAATCAACCTGATATTTGTAATGCATTGGAAGAATCCCCAGGGCATGGTAATAAGTATGCTTGTCTTATTTTTCTTTTCTTTCTTTTTTATTTTGAAACAAGGTGTCACTGTTGCCAGGCTGGGGTGCAGTGGTGCGATCATGGCTCACTGTAGCCTCGACCTCTGTGGCTCAGGCGATCCTCCTGCCTCAGCCTCTCGAGTAGCTGGGATTACAAGCGTACGCCACCACGTTGGGCTAATTCTTTAATTACTGTTATGTTTTGATATGGAGTCGCTCAGGCTGTCGCCCAGGCTGGAATGCTGTGGCGTGATCTTGGCTCTCTGCAACCTCAGCCTCCTGAGTAGCTGGGATTACAGGCACACACCACCGTGCCCAGCTAATTTTTCTGTGTTTTTAGTAGAGATGGGGTTTCACCATGTTGCTCAGGCTGGTCTCGAACTCCTTACCTCGAGTCATCCGCCTACCTTGGCCTCCCAAAGTGGTGGGATTACAGGCGTGAGCCACTTCGCCCAGCTAATCACCCATACTTTAAATCACCTCTAGATTACTCATATCTACAGTACATAATACAGGGCCTACACATCATTTCATTCACATGGATTCAAAGAAGTGCTTAATTTAAAGCAAATTCAAGTTTTTATTATTTATTTATTTATTTATTTATTTTTAGAGACGAGGTTTCACCATGTTGGTCAGGCTGGCCTCAAACTCCCAACCTCAGGTGATCCACCTGTCTCAGCCTCCCAAAGTGCTGGGATTACAAGCATGAACCAGCACACCCGGCCACAAGTTTTTATTTTTATTTTTTATTTTTTATTTTTTTTGATACAGAGTCTCCCTCGGTCACCCAGGCTGGAGTGCAGTGACGCCATCTTGGCTCACTGCAGCCTTCACCTGTCACCAGGTGGGACTAGCAGGTGCAGAGGCTTGGGGTGACAAAGTGTTCAGAGCTGTGCCATAATGAGTAAAACAGCGATTGGTCACATATGGGTAAATTTTTTTATTTTTTTTGAGATAGGGTCTTGCTCTGTTGCCCAGGCTTTAGTGCAGTGGTATGATCATGGCTCACTGTAGCCTCCATCTGTCAGACCCAAGCCATCCTCCCACTTCAGACTCCTGAGTAGCTGGGACTACAGGTGTAGATCACCAGGACCAGCATATTTTTGTACTTTTTTGTACAGGTGGAGTTTCACTTCATCTCCCAGACTGTTCTTGAACTCCTGGGCTGAATCCGTTCTCCTGCGTTGGCATCCCAAAGTGCTGGAATTACACCCGGCTTGGGTATTTAAATGTAAATTAATTAGATGTAAGTAAAATTAAAAGTTGAGCTCCTTCATCATCTAGCCACGCTGCAAGTGTTCAGTAGCCGCGGGCGTGCCTGTGGTTCCAGCTACTTGGGACGCTGAGGCGAGAGGAGGATGACTTGAGCCCAGGAGTTAAGTCCAGCCTCCGCAACATCAGGAGACCCTACCTCTAAAAAAAACAAATTATGTAATATTTCGATCATCTCAGAAAGTTGTTTTGGCCGGGCGCGGTGGCTCAAGCCTCTAATCCCAGCACTTTGGGAGGCCGAGGCGGGTGGATCACGAGGTCGAGAGATCGAGACCATCCTGGTCAACATGGTGAAACCCCGTCTCTACTAAAAATACAAAACATTAGCTGGGCATGGTGGCACATGCCTGTAATCCCAGCTACTCAGGAGGCTGAGGCAGGAGAATTGCCTGAACCCAGGAGGCGGAGGTTGCGGTGAGCCGAGATCGCGCCATTGCACTCCAGCCTGGGTAACGAGCGAAACTCCGTCTAAAAAAAAAAAAAAAAAAAAAAAGTTGTTTTGGGGGCTTTTGTTTGTTTGTTTTAGAGATAAGGTCTCGGCCGAGCATGGTGGCTCGTGCCTGTAATCTAAGCACTTTGGAAGCCAAGGCGGGCGGATCACCTGAGGTTGGGAGTTCAAGACCAACCTGACCAACATGGTGAAACCTTGTTTAAAAAAAAAAAAAAAAAAAAAAAACAGAGACAAGGTCTCACTCTGTCACCCAGGCTAGAGAGCAGTGATGTGATTATGGCTTACCGCAGCCTCAACCTCCTGGGCTCCAGTGATCCTCCTGCCTCAGCCTTCAGAGTAGCTGAGACTACTGACATGCTCCACCATGCCTGGCTAATTTATTTTTGTTAATTTTTTAGAGATGGAGTCTCACGGTATTGCTCAAGCTGGTCTCAAATCCTTTACTTTTTATTTATTTATTTTTTGAGATAGTCTTGCTCTATCGCTCAGGCTAGAGTGCAGTGGAGCAATCTCCACTCACTGCAACCTCTGCCTCCCGGGTTCAAGCAATCCTCATGCCTCAGCCTCCCAACTAGCTGCGATTACAGGTGTGCGCCACCATGCCCGGCTAATTTTTTGTATTTTTAGTAGAGATGGGGTTTCCCATCTGTTGGCCAGGCTGGTCCTGAACTCTGGACCTCATGTGATCTGCCCGCCTCGGCCTCCCAAAGTGTTGGGATGACAGGCGTGAGCCACCACGCCCAGCCTTGGCCTCAAATTCTTGTCCTCAAATGATCCTCCTACCTCGTCCTCTCTGGCAGTGAGAAAGTTCTTTTGGGAAGTACAAGGAAGAGCCAGGCTGGAAGTAAGGAAGGCAGGGAGGTCAACAGCAGCTGGAACATGCAGGACCGTCATGGGCCATGGCAAGAAGAGGGGATTTTATTCTCTGGCAGATGGGAGCCATGGGAGAGTTTAAAGCAAGGGAGGGCATAGATGATTTGTTTATTTGGAGTTCGCCTCATGTGCTGCATGGAGACTGGACTATTGACAGGAGGGGAAGCAGGGAGACCAGGGAGAAGCTGGGTCCCGTCCAGGCAGGAGATGGCCTTGGCTGGCTGTGCCTGGACCAGTGGGGCAGTACGGTATAGTAGAAAAGGTGAAACTAGATCTATCAGGATTTGCCCAAGGATGGGTCAAGAAAGTCAGGCCCCGCTGGCTGGCTGGGAGTACCGTTGTTGAAGCAGACACTGTTATGAGGATTTGTGTGCAATTAATTTATCAGGACTGGACGCGGTGGCTCACACCTGTAATCCCAGTACTTTGGGAGGCCAAGGTGGGCAGATAACTTGACATCAGGAGTTTGAAACCAACCTGGCCAACATGGAGAAACCCTGTCTCGACTAAAAATACAAAAATGAGGCCGGGCGCGGTGGCTCACGCCTGTAATCCCAGCACTCTGGGAGGCTGCGGCGGGTGAATCACAAGGTCAAGAGATCGAGACCATCCTGGTCAACATGGTAAAACCCCATCTCTACTAAAAATACAAAAAATTAGCTGGGAATGGTGGTGCGTGCCTGTAATCCCAGCTACTTAGGAGGCTGAGGCAGGAGAATTGCCTGAACCCAGGAGGCGGAGGTTGCGGTGAGCCGAGATCGAGCCATTGCACTCCAGCCTGGGTAACAAGAGTGAAACTCCATCTCAAAAAAAAAAAAAAAAAAATACAAAAATGAGTCAGGCATGGTGGTGGGTGCCTGTAATCCCAGCCTTCGGGAGGCTGACGCAGGAGAATCACTTGAACCTGGGGGGTGGAGGTTGCAGTGAGCCGAGATTTTGCCATTGCACTCCAGCCTGGGCAACAGAGCAAGACTCTGTCCCAAAAAAAAAAAAAAAAAATTCATAAGACACCTGAAGGGGAGAAGGGGAAACAGGGCTGGGCTGGCTGGCGAGGAGGCTGAGTGAGGGGCAACCTCAGGTAAAATCTGCAGATGGAGGCGTCAGGCTGGGCCTGCAGCGGAGCCCAGAGGGATAAGTTAGGCCTCTGGGTTGTTCAGTGCCCAGCGAGGGACACAGGTTTTCATATACCTCACTAGTGAGTGGCGGCTCAGGGCCTCCCGGTATGAGAACTTCCAGGTGCTTTCAGCTCCTGTGGGCATGCTCTGAAGAAGAGCCTTGGGTGTGGTCACGGGGGCAAAAGGAATGCCAGGGAGTGCAGTGGGCAGCAGGGTCCACTACCAGCGGGATTGGGAGGGAAAGATGAGAAGAGTTCACTGGGGGCCGGGCATAGTGGCGCATGCCTATAATCCCAGCACTTTGGGAGGCCGAGGCAGGAGGATCACTTGAGGCTAAGAGTTCAGGACCAGCCTGAGCAACATAGCAAGTCCCTGTCTCTGTTAAATAATGAAAAAAAACGAACCAGTCATGATGGTTCGTACCTGTAGTTGTAGCTCCTCAGGAGGCTGAGATGGGACGATGGCTTGAGGCTGGGAGTTTTGAGGCTGCAGTGAGCCGTGATCGTACCACTGCACTCCAGACTGAACAACAGAGCGAGACTCTGTCTCTAAAAAAAAAAGTTCACTCCTTATGAACTCATCACTCCTTTTGTCCTCTCATTAATGTCCTCTTTTTATTTATTTTTGTTTTTGTTTTTGTTTTTGTTTTGTTTTTTTTTGAGACGGAGTTTCGCTCTTGTTACCCAGGCTGGAGTGCAATGGCGCGATCTCGGCTCACCACAACCTCCGCCTCCTGGGTTCAGGCAATTCTCCTGCCTCAGCCTCCTGAGTAGCTGGGATTACAGGCACGTGCCACCATGCCCAGCTAATTTTTTGTATTTTTAGTAGAGTCGGGGTTTCACCATGTTGACCAGGTTGGTCTCGATCTCTTGACCTCGTGATCCACCCGCCTCAGCCTCCCAAAGTGCTGGGATTACAGGCTTGAGCCACCGCGCCCGGCTGCTCTTTTTATTTTTTGAGATGGAATCCTGCTCTTGTTGCCCAGGCTGGAGTGCGATGGCGCGATCTCGGCTCACTGCAACCTCCACCTCCTGGATTCAAGCAATTCTCCTGCCTCAGCCTCCTGAGTAGCTGGGATTCCTGGCACCTGCCACCATGGCCAGTTAATTTTTGTATTTTTTTAAGTAGATATGGGGTTTCACCATGTTGGTCAGGCTGGTCTCAAACTCCTGATCTCAGGTGATCCATCCACCTCAGCCCCCCAAAGTGCTGGAATTACAGGCATGAGCCACTGCACCCAGCATTTTTTTTTTTTTTTTTTTTTTTTTTTTGAGACGGAGTTTTGCTCTTGTTGCCCAGACTGGAGTGCAGTGGTACAATCTCGGCTCACCACAACCTCTGCCTCCTGTGTTCAAGCGATTCTGCTGTCTTAGCCTCCCGAGTAGCTGGGATTACAGGCGCCACCACGCTCAGCTAATTTTGTATGTTTTAATAGAGACAAGGATCCTCCATGTTGGTCAGGCTAGTCTCGAACTCCTGACCTCAGGAGATCTGCCAGCCTAAGCTGTCCAAAGTGCTGGGATTACAGGCATGAACCACCATGTCTGGCCTAATTTTTGTATTTTTACTAGAGACGAGGTTTCACATGTTGGCCTGGCTGGTCTCGAACTCCTGACCTCCGGTGATCTGCCCACCTTAGCCTCCCAAAGAGCTAGGATTATAGGCATGAGCCACCGTGCCTGGCCTCATTAATATCCTTTTGAGTGAGCCCTGCTGAGACTATTTCCTCCAGCCTGTCATGGGCCAGGGTTGACCTAGCTGCTGAGGGACACACCAGATGCCCCGTCTGCTCTGGCTGGGCTCAGCGCTGAAGTAACAAGAAGACTGACACTTTGTCCCCCTACACCCACCCCACCCCTGCCACCTATGGACCCTGGATCCAGTCACGGACAAGTTCACTGAGAGCGTCTACGTCCTGGCCAACGAGCCGTCCGTGGCCCTGTACCGGCTGCAGGAGCACGTTCGCCGCTCCCTCCCCGAGCTGGCCCAGCACAAGGTGACCTGGGGCCTGTTGGAAGGAGTAGGGGCTGTCAGGGTGGGAGCCAAGGCCGGGCCACCAGCAAGGAGGCATGTGGTGTCATAGCCAGGTCAGAGGCGTGGCAGACAGATCTGGGGTAGATTTTGAAGGAGGTGGCAAGATGTGTGTATGAGTTTATTCTCACGCTGGGTAATTTATATAGGAAGGAGGTTTCATTGACTCACAGTTCCACAGGGCTGGGGAGGCCTCTGGAAACTTACAGTTTGGCAAAAGCAGAAGCAAACATGTGCTTCTTTTCATGGCGGCAGGAAGGAGAAGTATGAGAGCCCAGCAAAGGGGGATGCCCCTTATTAAAACCACAAGATCTTGTGAGAACTCACTATCAGGAGAACAGGATGGGGAACCGACTCAGTGATTCAGTTTTCTCTACCTGGTCCCTCCCATAACACATGGGGATTATGGGAACTACAAGGTGAGATTTGGGTGGGGACACAGCCAAACGATACCATTCTGTAATAGTTATGAGGAGGCAGCTGTCTGACGACCTAAGGGAAGGATGTGCCGGGCAGGGGGAAACGTTCGTGCAGAGGTCCCGAGGCATGGTGCCCAGGTGTCCGCAGAAAGCCCAGACCTGTGACAGAAGGGAACTGCAGGAGGAAAAGTCTCTGCATCCACCATGAGGACTCAGGGGAGCCTCAACCAAGGGAGCTGGGAGGAGGGCCCTCTAGGTGGGGGTGGCCTCCGTTGCCAAACATCTCATGCGCCCCCTACAGGCAGATATGCAGCGTTGGGAGGAGCAGAGCCAGGGAGCCATCTACACTGTGGAGTACGCCTGCAGGTAAGCGTCACAGCTTCCCCACTGCAGGGCCACCCCTCCACTGCTCTGGCCTCCTGGGCATCCCAGCCAGTAAGCCCCGCTCTGCCTAGCCTACCCGAGTGGGTGTATGTGATCGGTACCACCATTCACCAGGCCTGGGTCCCAGGTGGGTCTCTTCCCTGCACTGAGCCCCTATCCAGCTGTCACAGGAGAGAGGGATAAGGATTCTGGGAGATGCCTCTGGGGACCAGCATTTCTCTCCCACAGCCAGGACCACAGATGGGCCAGTAGGGTGGATGGCAGCCAGGGGGAAGCCCAAAGCACAGATATGGCTGTTTATTTTGAATTTTTTTTTTTTTTTTTTTTGAGACGGAGTTTCGCTCTTGTTACCCAGGCTGGAGTGCAATGGCACGATCTCGGCTCACCGCAACCTCCGCCTCCTGGGTTCAGGCAATTCTCCTGCCTCAGCCTCCTGAGTAGCTGGGATTACAGGCACACGCCACCATGCCCAGCTAATTTTTTGTATTTTTAGTAGAGACGGGGTTTCACCATGTTGACCAGGTTGGTCTCGATCTCTCGACCTTGTGATCCACCCGCCTCGGCCTCCCAAAGTGCTGGGATTACAGGCTTGAGCCACCGCGCCCGGCCCGAATTTTTTTTTTTTTTTTTTGAGATGGAGTCTTGCCCCATCGCCCAGGCTGAAGTGCAGTGGCATGAACTCGGCTCACTGCAACCTCTGACTCTTGGATTCAAGTGATTCTCCTGCCTCACCCTCCCGAGTAGCTGGGAATACAGGTGTGTGCCACCACGCCCAGCTAATTTTTATATTTTTAGTAGAGACAGGGTTTCACCATGTTGGCCAGGCTTGTCTTGAACTCCTGACCTCAGATGATCCACCCACCTCAGCCTCCCAAAGTGCTGCGATTACAGGCACGAGCCACTGTGCCCGGCCTTTTTTTTTTTTTTTTTTGGACGCAGAGTCTCACTCTGTTGCCCAGGCTGGAGTGCAGTGGCACAATCTCCGCTCACTGCAGCCTCCCCCTCTCAGGCTCAGGGGATTATCCCACTTTAGCCTCCCAAGTAGATAGGGCTACAAATGCCTGCCACTACTCCCAGCTAATTTTTATATTTTAAGTTGAGATGGGGTTTCACCATGTTAGCCAGGCTATTCTCGAACTCCTGACCTCAGGTGATCCACCCGCCTCAACCTCCCAAAGTGCTGGGATTACAGGCACGAGCCACTGTGCCCGGCTGGGGTTTCTTTTTGTCACTGAACCCTTGCCTTCCATTCCCAAGCCTTATTCCAGTTTCCTTGGGTTGCCCAGTCAGCCTTGGAAGTTCCTGGACTTTGCTTGGTTGTTCTGTTTGCCCCTGACGTGGGCTGCGAGCCATTTTGGTGGTGGCTGAGCAGTGCTCCCAGCAGTTCCCCTGGTGTGTTGCTGTTTGGTTGTGTGGGCGAAGGTGCCTAGACAGGAAATCCTGCTGCTGGGGCAGCGTTCTGCCATTGGCAGCTTTGGCTCCCTTGGTGGGACAAGGGGCGTCCAGACAGACAGTATCTTCCTTAGCTCAAGGAAAATAAAATAAAATAGGAGTTTCTACAGCTGGGCCTGGTGGTGCATGCCTGTAGTTCCAGCTACTCAAGAGGCTGAGGTGGGAGGATGCCTTGAAAGGAATTTAGGGCTGGATGAGGTGGCTCATGCCTGTAATCCCAGCACTTTGGGAGGCCAGGATGGGCAGATCACCTGAGGTCAGGAGTTCGAGACCAGCCTAGCCAACGTGGCAAAACCCTATCTCTACTAAAAATATAAAACTTAGGCCGGGCGCGGTGGCTCAAGCCTGTAATCCCAGCACTTTGGGAGGCCGAGGCGGGTGGATCACAAGGTCGAGAGATCGAGACCAAACTGGTCAACATGGTGAAACCCCGTCTCTACTAAAAATACAAAAAATTAGCTGGGCATGGTGGCGTGTGCCTGTAATCCCAGCTACTCAGGAGGCTGAGGCAGGAGAATTGCCTGAACCCAGGAGGCGGAGGTTGCGGTGAGCCGAGATCGCGCCATTGCACTCCAGCCTGGGTAACAAGAGTGAAACTCCGTCTCAAAAAAAAAAAAAAAAAAAAAAATATAAAACTTAGTCAGGCGTGGTGGTACATACCTGTAATCCCAGCTACTCGGGAGGCTGAGGCAGGAGAATTGCTTGAACCCGGGAGGTGGAGGTTGCAGTGAGCCGAGATTGCACCATTGCACTCCAGCCTGGGCAACGAGTGAAACCTCAAATCAGAACAAAACAAGAAAGGAGTTGAGGGCCAGCCTGGGTGACAGCAAGACCTCTCCTCTAACAAAAAATGAAATATGGCTGGGTGTGGTGGCTCACCCCTGTTCTCCCAGCACTTTGGTAGGCCAAGGTGGATGGATCGCTAGAGCCCAGGAGTTTGGGACCAGCCTGGACAACCTGGTGAAACCCTGTTTCTACAAAAAGTACAAAAACTAGCCAAGCCTTGCGGCACACACCTTTAGTCCCAGCTATTTGGGAGGCTGAGGTGGGAGGATCATTTAAACCTGGGAGGTTGAGGCTGTAGTGAGCAGAGATTTCACCACTGCACTCCAGCCTGGGCAACAGAACAAGATCCTGTTTAAAAAAAAAAAACCTGCGCCGGGCGCGGTGGCTCAAGCCTGTAATCCCAGCACTTTGGGAGGCCGAGGCGGGTGGATCACGAGGTCAAGAGATCGAGACCATCCTGGTCAACATGGTGAAACCCCGTCTCTACTAAAAATACAAAAAATTAGCTGGGCATGGTGGTGCGTGCCTGTAATCCCAGCTACTCAGGAGGCTGAGGCAGGAGAATTGCCTGAACCCAGGAGGCAGAGGTTGCAGTGAGCCGAGATCGTGCCATTGCACTCCAGCCTGGGTAACAAGAGCGAAACTCCATCTCAAAAAAAAAAAAAACAAAAAACCTGCTTTCTTCTGCTTCCTGTACCTGTGCCATCTAATCCAGGAACCTAGGCCATGGGTGGCTAAGCACACTTAAGTTTTAACTCGTTAAAATGAAGTAAGGCCAGGTGCAGTGGCTCACCTGTAGTCCCAGCACTTTGGGAGGCTAAGCTGGGAAGATCACTTGCGACCAGGAGTTGAGACCACCCTCGCCAACATGGTGAAACTCTGGCCGGGCGCAGTGGCTCAAGCCTGTAATCCCAGCACTTTGGGAGGCCGAGGCGGGTGGATCACAAGGTCGAAAGATCGAGACCATCCTGGTCAACATGGTGAAACCCCGTCTCTACTAAAAATACAATAAAACTAGCTGGGCATGGTGGCGCGTGCCTGTAATCCCAGCTACTTAGGAGGCTGAGGCAGGAGAATTGCCTGAGACCAGGAGGCGGAGGTTGCGGTGAGCTGAGATCGTGCCATTGCACTCCAGCCTGGGTAACAAGAACGAAACTCCGTCTCAAAAAAAAAAAAAAACAAAAACAAAAAAAACCTCTATCTCTACTAAAAATACAAAAATTAGCCAGGCATGGTGGCGGGCACTTGTAAATCCCAGCTACTTGGGAGGCTGTGGCAGGAGAATCACCTGAACCTGGGAGGCAGAGGTTGCTGTGAGCCAAGATTGTGCCCAGCCTGGGCAACAGAGTGAGACTCTGTCTCAAAAAAAAAAAATGAGCCGGGCGCGGTGGCTCAAGCCTGTAATCCCAGCACTTTGGGAGGCCGAGGCGGGCGGATCACAAGGTCAAGAGATCAAGACCATCCTGGTCAACATGGTGAAACCCCATCTCTACTAAAAATACAAAAAATTAGCTGGGCATGGTGGCACGTGCCTGTAATCCCAGCTACTCAGGAGGCTGAGGCAGGAGAATTGCCTGAACCCAGGGGGCGGAGGTTGCAGTGAGCCGAGATCGCGCCATTGCACTCCAGCCTGAGTAACAAGAGCGAAACTCCGTTTCACAAAAAAAAAAAAAAGAAAAGAAAAGAAAATGAAAAAATGAAATACTCAACTCCCAAGTCTCACTAGCTACATTCCAAGTGCCTCTCAGCAACTCAGTGGATAAAGAACATTTTCATCCCCCGTTGCCCCAGACATCAGTGGGCTCGGCGGGAGGCCAGCGGGCATTTGTCTTTAGTGAAATATGTATTTTTTAAAATTAAATTAATTTACTTATTTATTTTTTAATTTTTTGAGACAGAGTCTCACTCTGTTGCCTAGGCTGGAGTGCAATGGCGTGATCTCGGCTCACTGCAACCTCCGCCTCTTGGGTTCAAGCGATTTTCCTGCCTTAGCCTCCTGAGTAGCTAGTCTTACAGGTGCCTACCACGCTCCAGCTAATTTTTCTGTATTTTTAGTAGAGACATGGTTTTACGATGTTGGCCAGGCTGGTCTTAAACGTCTGACCTCGTGATCCACTTGCTTCAGCCTCCCAAAGTGCTGGGATTACAGGCATAAACCACTGCACCTGCCTATTTTTTTTTTTTTTTTTTTGAGACAGGGTCTTGCTCTGTCACCCAGGCTAGAGTGCAGTGGTACAGTTACAGCTTCCTATAGCCTCAGCCTCCTGGGCTCAGGTGATCCTCCCACCCTATCCTCCTAGGTAGCTGGGACCACAGGCAGGTGTCACTATGCCTGGCTAATTTTTAAATTTTTGTAGAGATGGGACCCCACTATGTTGCCCAGGCTGGTCTCAAACTCCCCAGCTCAAATAATTTTCTCTCCTGGGCCTCCCAAAGTGTTGAGATTACAGGTTTGAGTCACCATATCCAACCAGATTTTCCTTTTTTTTTTTTTTTTTTTTGAGACAGAATTTCACTCTTGTTGCCCAAACTGGAGTGCAATGGCACGATCTCGGCTCACTGTAACCTCCACCTCTTGGGTTCAAGCAATTCTCCTGCCTCGGCCTCCCAAGTAGCTGGGATTACAGGCATGTGCCACCATGCCTGGCTAATTTTGTATTTTTAGTAGAGACAGGGTTTCTCCATGTTGGTCAGCCTGGTCTCGAACTCTTGACCTCAGGTGATCCTCCTGCCTTGGCCTCCCGAAATGCTGGGATTACAGGCGTGAGCCATTGTGCCTGGCCCCAGATTTTTCTTTTTAGGAGATGGGGTTGGTGGGGCATGGTGGCTGATACCTGTAATCCCAGCACTTTGGGAGGCCAAGGCGGGCAGATCATAAGGTCAGGAGATCAAGACCATCCTGGCTAACATAGTGAAACCCCGTCTCTACTAAAAATACAAAAAGTTAGTCAGGTGTGGTGGCACATGCCTGTAGTCCCAGCTACTTGGGAGGCTGAGACAGGAGAATCGCTTGAACCTGGGAGGTGGAAGCTGTAATGAGCTGAGATCGCATCACTGCACTCCAGCCTGGGTGACAGAGCAAAACTGTCTCAAAAAAAAAAAAAAAGAGAGAGAGAGATGGGGTCTCTCTATGTTGCCCAGGCTAGTCTCAACCTGGGCTCAAGCCGTCATCTTGCCTTGGCCTCTTGAGGAGCTGGGATTACAGGTGTGAACCACAGTGCTCAGTAGAGATACTGCTTTTTCTTTTTTGTTTTGTTTTTTTTTTTTGAGACGGAGTTTCTCTCGTTATCCAGGCTGGAGTGCAATGGCGCAATCTCGGCTCACCGCAACCTCCGTCTCGGCTCACTGCAACCTCCGTCTCCCGGGTTCAGGCAATTCTGCCTCAGCCTCCTGAGTAGCGGGGATTACAGGCACATGCCACCATGCCCAGCTAATTTTTTGTATTTTTAGTAGAGACGGGGTTTCACCATGTTGACCAGAATGGTCTCGATCTCTTGACCTCGCGATCCACCCGCCTGGGCCTCCCAAAGTGCTGGGATTACAGGCTTGAGCCACCGCGCCCAGCCTTCTTTTTTGTTTTACACCCTCGTATCAGCAGTAAGGGCTGAGATATTTTTTGTGGCATCTTTATACACTGATACCTCCTTCAAAACGTTACACGTTTCGGTGGCAGTGAAGTCAAAGTGTTCTTCCCATGTGCTGTGTTGCATAGTTGCCATCTAGTCATAGCAGGGAAATCCAAAACGTAAGCCCACCATGAGTCCTCGGGGAAGCCCACAGCATCACCGAGGTACCCCCTGAGCTCCAGTGCTGGGGTGTGGAACACTCACCTGCAGGTTTGGGGCGCTGATCAGGCCTGTCCTTTCGTTTCAGCGCCGTGAAGAACCTGGTGGACAGCAGCGTCTACTTCCGCAGCGTGGAGGGTCTGCTCAAACAGGCCATCAGCATCCGGGACCATATGAATGCCAGTGCCCAGGGCCACAGGTAGCTCCTGGGACCACCTGCCCCCGCTGCCACTCTCAGCCACAAGGACCGTCTCTCAGCTGCGCTAGGAAACGCTGCTTCTCGCCTATTAAGAAAACTTTCTCTTTCCTCTTGTCCTGGTGTCTGGTGACCTCCTCTTGTCCTTTGGTGTCTATAACTTGAGAGTTCCGTCACTTAGTACCCAGGTTCTGAGCTCTGCTGTGTGCCTGGCCCTGGGCTGGCCACCGGGGATGTAGCAGTGACCGAGACAGATGGGCTCACAGGGAGCCATACAGCAACCAGGTCCCGCAGATAAGAGCACGTCAGATGTGCTGGGAAGAATGCCGCGGGGCCCCTCCTAGGAGGTGGTGTGAGTGACACACAGACGATCGGGGGCAGAGGGAGTTCCACTCGTGGCAGTGGTGAGGACAGACACCCTGGGGCTGGGTTCCCTGGGAGTGTTGGGGAAGCACCGAGAAGGCTTCTGTGGCTGGGGTGGGCCAGCTCGGGGAGATGGCAGGGGCCTCTGTCCACCCTGTCCCAGGACTCACAGCTGAGGGAGGCTTTGAGCCGAGGACCAGGGTTCTGAAAACGAAAAGCACTCACAGTCCTTGAACATTGGAGAGAGGGTTTTTAGGAATGGCCCTTCTTTTTGTTTTTTGTTGGCATTATAATTTAATAAACACGCTTACGAACATACACGTGCCGGGAGCAGGAATGTTACCTTGGGCTGCACTGGCTCCCACAGATTAGGGTTCTGGCTGGTCTATCCCCCGCTGGGCATTTGGGAAAGAAAGCATCTGTGTTGCTTAACTAAGACGCCAGAATCGGCAAAAACAAGACTTGAGCGTGTGTGTAAGAATGGGACTTAGCAATCTTCCCTCAAAGGGTAGCACAGTAGGGACTTATCTGGGCTCTTTTGCAGCTGAAGAGCGGCTTCTGGCTCCTCTGCCACGGGTTGATGTCAGCAGAACTAGACTTCACTGAAAAGCCTCAGCTGTTACTGTCAACTCAGGGTTTCCCAAAATGCCTTCATATGCCCTGCTTGTGCTCACTGTTGCGAAAATGCAACGTGCTTCTGAAGGACATTAGTAGCAGCTTGAGTTGCTATTAATACCTCTTTGTAAGCCCTATGGGTTCAAAGTGCCCAGTCTTGTGTGAGTGAGTCCCAGATACGGCCTCTGGAGTAACTCGTCCCACTTTTTAAAAAGTACATACATATATTTTTAAATAGAAACTGTGTCACGATACAGTGCCTGGGCTGGTCTCGAACTCCTGGCCCAAGTTATCAGCTCACCTCGGCCTCCCAAAGTGCTGGATTAGAGGCATGAGCCACCATGCCCAGCCATTTGTCCCTTTTTTTTTTTTCTTATTTTTTTCTTATTCCCTCCCCCCACCCCGAGACAGTCTCACTCTGTTGCCCAGGCTGGAGTGCAATGGTGCGATCTTGGCTCACTGCAGCCTCCACCTCCTGGGTTCAAGTGATTCTGGTACCTAAGCCTCCTGAGTAGCTGGGATTACAGACACACACCACCCAGCTAATTTTCGTATTTTTAGTGGAGATGGAGTTTCACCATATTGGTTGGGCTGGTCTCAAACTCCTGACCTCAGTTGATCACCTGCCTCAGCTGAGATTATAGGCATGAGACACCATGCCCGGCCTAGTCGCCCCACTTATTTTTTTTTTTTTTTTTTTTTTTTTTTTTTGAGAAGGAGTTTTGCTCTTGCTACCCAGGCTGGAGTGCAATGGCACGATCTCGGCTCACCGCAACCTCCGCCTCCTGGGTTCAGGCAATTCACCTGCCTCAGCCTCCTGAGTAGCTCGGATTACAGCCATGTGCCACCATGCCCAGCTACTTTTTATTTTTTTAGTAGAGACGGGGTTTCACCATGTTGACCAGGGTGGTCTCGATCTCTTGACCTCGTGATCCACCCGCCTCGGCCTCCCAAAGTGCTGGGATTACAGGCTTGAGCCACCGCACTCGGCCAGTGTTGCCCCACTTTTAAGGAGGATGCCTGGAATCTCAAGCCAGAGGTCTTCCAAGACCAGAGTGTCACCCAAACATGCACTCCAGCCAGCTGAGCAGGCCTTGTGGCCTCTGACCTTGGCCTCATGTATACTGCCCGTGTTTCCTTCCAGCCCCGAGGAACCACCCCCGCCCTCCTCAGCCTGATCCTGGAAGACACTTGGGGCCCCCCAGGCTCCCCGGACCCAGGTCAGTGCCAAGGGTAGCCATGAGCCTCTCTCTGCTCTGAACTAACCAACCCACCTGCTTGGCAGCCAGCCAGACGCCTGTCTGTCTAATCACTTGGGTTTCTCACTGGGTTTGTGGGATGGTTTCGGAGGTGGCAGGTCTAGGGTGTCTGCAGGTCCAGAATGTTCCACCCTGCTGCTCAGGGACCGTGGCAGCCCATGTCTCACACTCTCTCTCCGCCACCTTCCTCCCTCTTTTCCAGGCCATAGGTCCTTTGCCAGTCCCAGAGATTTCCACCCCCTGAGACAGAGAGGGCAGCCCACATTTCCTCTCCCCTACCACGTGCCAGCAGCCTGCTTTACCCACGCACAGTCTCAGGCAGAGCCTGGCGTGGCAATTACGCACCCATCTCTGGGACTCCCCCCGCCGATCCACTGTCTGCCTGCTGTGTGACCAAGTAAACTCACTCCCTCTCTGGTCCCTGCGTTTCCCTTCAGTAAAGGTGGCTCCTCAGGTCACTGAGAGGGTGCAGGGAACAGAGACAGATGTGCTTCGGAGCAGTGGCTTTTGCTGCATAACACAGCATCCCCAAACTCAGTGGTTTACAGCCCCAGTAATTAACCTACTCACGATTCTGCACTTTGGGCTAGGCTCAGCTGGGCGGTTCTGCTGCTCTCCCTGGGAGTCACCCGTGGGTGCTCATGGGAGCTCAGCTGCAGCTGCATAGTCAGAGGGGGCCCTCAACCGGGGCTGTTGGCAGCAGGGGTCAGGTTTTCCTTGTGGCCTCTCCCCTAGGCCAGCTGGGGTTTCTTCTGCTGGCTGGGAGCCCAGAGGGCAGCTCCCGTGCAGAGTGCCACTTTCACATTTGTGGGTGGCCCATTGGTTGAAGCCAGTCACGTGGCCAGGCCCAGGACCAGATGGGAGAGGACCACACAAGCGCAGTGTGAGCCCTGGGAGGCACGGCTGACCACGCTTGGAGAGTGTGGTGCCAGCAAAGACCTGATGTGTCATCATTCCATATCTGTGATGGGCAGGAGCAGGCAGGTCCAAGGGGCACCAGGGACTTACCGAGCCCCTGCCTGTTGGCCAGTCACTGTGATTGTCCTCGGTGCCATGGAGGTCCTCTCAGAGGTCAAGGGGAGGCAGGTGGAGACAGAGCCTCTGTAGGCCCTCCAAGCTGTGGCCCCAGAGCCCAGAGGCAGCTGAGTTCCTGTGTCCAGTCAGACAGCACTCAGCAGGCACTGCAGTCAGAGAGCACTTACTGGACACCACAGGCAGCGAGCATTTATTGAGCACCTCTGGCAATGGATGAACGCTTCCTGAGCACCTGCTCATGGCAGGCGTAGCTCTGAGTGTGGAGTCGTGAGAAATCCCACAGGCTAAGCAGTGGCCCGGGAGCTTTCCAGGGGGGCTGAAGCAGGAGGGGCTGCCTGAGGGGGTCAGCAGCCCACCCCAGTGCCCTACGCAGCCCTGCCTACACCCCCAACCCAGCCTCTGTCTCCCCAGTCCCATCCCCCACACCCTGGTCCCTCCCACTTTGTGTCAAGGACACTGCCCTACCGCCCACCTCACTCCCCAGCATCTGCTGTCCCCTCCACTGCTGCTCCCAACAGGACTGCTGTGTCTCATCCTGTCCCTGCGGAGCCCCTCTCCTCTCCCCAGAACTGCCAGCCTCATGCCCCCTCTCAGAGCTTTTTTTTTTCTTTTTTCTTTTTTTAAGATGGAATCTCGTTCTGTCGCCCAGGCTGGAGTGCAGTGGTGCAATCTCAGCTCACTGCAAATTCTGCCTCCTAGGTTCAAGCGATTCTCCTGCTTCAGCCTCCCAAGTAGCTGGGACTATAGGCGCCTGCCACCTTGCTGGGCTAATTTTTGGATTTTTAGTAGAGACAGAGTTTCACCACATTGGTCAGGCTGGTCTCAAACTCCGGACCTCAGGTGATCTGCCTGCCTTAGCCTCCTAGAGTCCTGGGACTACAGGCGTGAGCCACCACAGCCGGCCTCAGAGCCTCTCATTTCCACTTTTCCCCCAAAACTGCACCCCTTGGGGTCATCAGTGACCTTCACAGGGTCAAGTTATCCGCTTCTCCAATCCCAGGATCCTAAACACTGCCCCATTTTACAGAAGAGGAAACCGAGGCCCCGAGAGGTGAGGCAGCCAGCCTGGGATCACCACCCACACCCGTAAGTGCCAGGATTCCCACCCAGAGCCCTGCCACCAAGCTCCACCTTATCTTGGCCTGGGTTCACCCCTCAAGTACTACCTCATGCCCTGGCTCCACCTCAGACAACCCTGACCCTCGCCCCCACTCCCCAGCCTGACCAAAGCTGGGCCAGGCAGACACTGAAGACTGAGCGGGTGCGGCCAGCACCTTCCTCCTGCTCCCACCTGGAACCTCCAGGCCCCCATCAGCCCTTGCACCAATAACTGCCATCGAGCTAATCCTGATTATACACCCACCATGTCCCCAGCCCTGGGCAACAGTCTTCACAGGGATGATCCCATTTCATCCCCAGACAGCCCCAAAAGGCAGTCTCACCCCAAATACAGACGGACAGAGAGGCTCTGCCAGGCATGGTGTTCGGCACCTGTAATCCCAGCTACTCGGGAGGTTGAGGCATGAGAATCCCTTGAACCCAGGAAGCAGAAGCTCCAGTGAGCCAAGATGGCGCCACTACACTCCAAGTGGGCCACAGAATGAGACTTTGAGCCCCTGCCCCCCCCTCCAAAAAAAAATAAGGACGCAGCCAGAGAAGAGCAGCCCCTGGCCTGGCATGTTCCTAGTCCTGCCTGCCTCATGTGTGTATGACTCGCCTGGCACCGGCCCTCTCTGCATTTCCTTTTCTTTTCTTTGTTCCCTTTCCTTCTTTCCTCTCTCTTGTGCTCTCTCGCTCTGTCACCCTGGCTGGAGTGCAGTGGCACGATCTCGGCTCACTGCAACCTCTGCCTCCCTGGCTCAAGCGAACCTCCTGCCTCAGCCTCCCCTGTAGCTGGGCCTACAGGTGCACACCACCACCGCCAGCTAATTTTTTTGTATTTTTTGTAGAGACGAGGTTTCGCCATGTTGGCCAGCTCAAGTGATCCCCCTGCCTGAGCCTCCCCAAGTGCTGGGATGACAGGCCTGAGCCACCGCGCCCGGCCTTGGTTCTTTTGTTCATCTGGATAAGGAAGGCTGGACCCCCGCAGACTCACCTTCCCACCTTGCATTCTGCCCCGAGCAGCAACGCTCAGGCCACGTGGAGAAGCCACCCCTGGTTCCAGGGGTGGATGTGGCACCTCGGCCTGGCCGATCAGAGCTGCCAGTGACCTAGGTCCCAGTGACTGGTTCAAGGTGGACGCGTGGCCCAACGAGAGGCCTTTCCTGGGAGTTCCAGGAGCATGGTGGCGGGGGGCGGGGGTGGACCTGAGAACCTTGCCTGGGGCCTTGGATCCAGCTGTACCTGACGCTAGCCAATTTCATTTCAATTCGTCAGTTTCATCGACCTCTAAATTATGATTTTTTTGCCAAAATGGCTTTGAGTCTGCTTCTGCTGCTGTTTGCAGAAGGGCCCGCACTGACTGCTGTGAATGCCACACCTGGGTGACCAGGCCTCCACAAGTTATGCATCTGCAGTGCCAGCTCTATGCCAACACAGCATTACCCCAGAATCCCTTGTTCCAGTGCAGTGTATTAGGGAACTCAGATGGGGTTGTTTGGGTTGAGACAGGGCCCAGTCCCACTGCTCTGGGAGGGTTTACTCAGCTTGGTGCTGTGGGATGATTGCTGGAGATGGGTGGGAAAAGCAGGGGTGTCCCGAGGGGAGACGGGGCATCCTCCTGGGGTGTCGAGACTGTCAAGGCATTTGAAGGCCTGGAAAGGGGGTTCAGCCCTGCCTCTCCTCCTCCTAGGGCATACTGGGGGGCCTCTGTGCCACTATCCTGCCTCTCCACCATTCCACTCAGCTCAGGAGTTGGAGGAGCCCAGAGCCATCCCATCTGGGGCCCTGATTGGCGTGTGGCCTCCAGAGTCCTTTTCCCTTCTTACGTGCTCTGAAGATACCTCTCAATGTCCATCTGTCCTCCATGCAACCATTTATCCGGCAAACGCTGACGGGTATTCGTGAGCCAGACAGGCCAGCCCTGTCTTGCTCAGACCCGCAGGAGAAACTGGCAGCAGAACGGGATTATCACCTCCCTCCCGGCACCTGCCAGGACGACTGGGGCTGGGGGTGAGGGAGGCAGGCATCGGGGGCCCCAGACCCTTCTAGGGCTCGGAGTCACTCATAGGCCCCCTGGGTGTGACCTCAACCAGTGACTGACAGTCTTGTCTCTCTGTCGCCAGGCTGGAGTGCAGTGGTGTGATCTTGGCTGACCCACCTCTGCTGCCTGGGTTCAAGCGATACTCCTGCCTCAGCCTCCCGAGTAACTGGGATTAGAGGCACCTGCCACCATGCCCAGCTAATTTGTAGTTTTAGTGGAGATGGGGGTTTCACTATCTTGGCCAGCCTAGTCTTGAACTCCTGACTTCATGATCCACCTGCCTCAGCCTCCCAATTTGCTGGGATTACAGGTGTGAGCCACCTCACCTGGCCCAGTCATCTCTCTTAAAAGGGGTCTGAGCCAGGTATGGTGGCTCATGCCTGTAATCCCAGCACTTTGGAATGGTGAGGTGGGCAGATCACCTGAAGTCAGGAGTTCAAAACCAGCCTGGCCAACATGGTGAAACCCTGTCTACCATATAAAAAATCAGTGGGTATGGTGGTGGGCACCTATAATCCCAGCTACTTGGGAAGCTGAGGCAGGAGAATTGCTTGAACCTGGGAGGCAGACGTTACAGTGAGCCAAGATCGAGCCGCTGCACTCTAGCCTGGGTGACAGAGCGAGACTCTATCTCAAAAAATAATAATAGGCTGGGTGTGGTGGCCTCATGTGGTAATCCCAGCACTTTGGGAGGTTGAGGCAGGTGGATCACCTGAGGTCTGGAGTTCGAGACCAGCCTGACCAACATGGTGAAACCCCATCTCTACTAAAAATACAAAGTTAGCCGGGCGTGGCAGCACATGCTTGTAATCCCAGCTACTTAGGAGCCTAAGGCAGGAGAATCGCTTGAAAAGGGGGGCCAAGGTTTCAGTGAGCTGAGATCGTGCCATTGCATTCCAGCCTGGGCAACAAGAGCAAAACTGTGTCTCAAAAAAAAACAATTAAAAATAATAAATAAGGCCGGGCGCGGTGGCTCAAGCCTGTAATCCCAGCACTTTGGGAGGCCGAGGCGGGTGGATCACGAGGTCAAGAGATCAAGACCATCCTGGTCAACACAGTGAAACCCCGTCTCTACTAAAAATACAAAAAATTAGCTGGGCATGGTGGCACATGCCTGTGATCCCAGCTACTCAGGAGGCTGAGGTAGGAGAATTGCCTGAACCCGGGAGGCGGAGGTTGCGGTGAGCCGAGATCGCCCCATTGCACTCCAGCCTGGGTAACAAGAGCGAAACTCCGTCTCAAAAAAAAAAAATAATAATAATAAATAAAAGATGTCTGATCAGGACTTTGGGCTGTCAGACACCTCGTCACCCCGAGTCCAAGGGCTCGTGTGAACGCTGGTTAATTTGCGTCGTCTTTGCACGCTCTATTCGCAGGGCATCCCGCCTGCTTTGGCCGCCAGGGGGCGCAAGAGGCAAAGCGTTGGCGGGGAGCTCGGCCTCCGTCCGGTCATTGTCTGCAGTCCTGACTGGCCCTGGTGGGCACACTATGACCCTCCACCCTTTTTCACCCTAAGTGCCCTTGCTCCCACTTTTCAGAGAGTGAACTGAGGTTCTGAGAGGCCAGAGGGCTTTGAGAACAAGAGCTCACAGCATCCCTTGTCAGGGTGGAGGGCAAGGGCCCTCTTAGAGCTTGCTCATTAGCATTTACTGGCCAGGCCCGGTGGCTCACACCTGTAATACTCCCAGCACTTTGGGAGGCCGAGGTTGGCGGATCACTTGACGTCAGGAGTTCGAGTCCACCTGGCCAACATGGTGAAACCTTGTCTCTACTGAAAATACAAAAATTAGCTGGGTGCGGTGCACACCTGTAATCCCAGCTGCTCTGGAAGCTGAGGCAGGAGAATTGCTTGAGCCCGGGAGGTGGAGGTTGCAGTGAGCCAAGATTATGCCACTGCACTGCAGCCTAAGTGACAGACGTAGACTCTGTTTCCAAAAAAAAAAAAAAAAAAAAACCCAAAAACCAGCTGGCGTGGTGGCTCACGCCTGTAATCCCAGCACTTTGGGAGGCTGAAGTAGGTGGATCATGAGGTCAAGAGATTGAGACCATCCTGGCCAACATGGTGAAACCCTATCTCTACAAAAAATACAAAAATTAGCTGGCCGTGGTGGCACACGCTGGTAATCCCAGCTAGTCGGGAGGCTGAGGCAAGAGAATGGCTTGAACCCGGGAGGTGGAGATTGCAGTGAGCCAAGGTCGTACCCCTACACTGCAGCCTGGCCACAGAGCAAGACTCCATCTCAAAAAAAAAAAAAAAAAAAAAAAAAAAAAAAAAAAAAAAATAGTGTTTACTCCCGGCAGGACTCCAGAGATAGATGGGCAGCTAGAAGAGAGACAGTGAGCTCTCTGTGCCATGGGGCGTCCAAACAAGTGTGCAGTGCTCACGAGGCTAGAGGTCACCCAGAAGGGATCCCAACCCTGGTCTGCGGAGTGGGTAAAGAGACCCATAGAGGGCAGCGACCTGCCCCTGCTCTGTCCACAGTGGTCAGGACGAGAATCAGACTTCTGCTGGGTTTTGTTCTTAGCCCTTGGTGTGAGTCCTGGTTTTTGTTTCAGACCTGCTCTGGGTTCCTGGAGAGTCCTGCACACTCAGGCCCCTGGGAAGCCTCTTTTCAGCCCTGTCGTATCCCTGAACAAGGCTTCTGGGTGCCCCAGGCTTGGCCCCCACTCTTACTTTCACTGCCTACACCTTCCTGGGGATTCTCCAGTTCTTCAAGAAACCCATGGAGGCTGTGGGCAGTGGCTCACACCCGTAATCCCAGTGCTTCTGGAGACCAAGGCAGGAGGATCACTTGAGCCCAGGAGTTTAAGGCTGCGGGGAGCCATGATTGCACCACTGCACTCCAGCCTGGGCAACAGAGCAACTGCGTCTCTAAAAAACGAAAGAGGCTGGGCGTGGTGGCTCACGCCTGTAATCCCAGCACTTTGTGGGGCCAAGGCAGGTGGATCATGAGGTCAGGAGTTTGAGACTAGCCTGGCCAATATGGTGAAACCCCATCTCTACTAAAAATACAAAAAGTTAGCTGGGTGTGGTGGCATGTGTCTGTAGTCCCAGCTGCTCCGGAGGCTAAGGCAGGAGAATTGCTTGAACCTGGGAGGCAGAGGTTGCAGTGAGCAGAAATCGAGCCACTGCACTCCAGCCTGGGTGACAGAGCAAGACTCTGTCTCAAAAAAAAAAAAAAAAAAAAAGGCCGGGCGCGGTGGCTCAAGCCTGTAATCCCAGCGCTTTGGGAGGCCGAGGCGGGTGGATCACGAGGTCAAAAGATCGAGACCATCCTGATCAACATGGTGAAACCCCGTCTCTACTAAAAATACAAAAAATTAGCTGGGCATGGTGGCGCGTGCCTGTAATCCCAACTACTCAGGAGGCCGAGGCAGGAGAATTGCCTGAACCCAGGAGGCGGAGGTGGCGGTGAGCCGAGATCGCGCCATTGCACTCCAGCCTGGGTGACAGAGCAAGACTCTGTCTCAAAAAAAAAAAAAAAAAAAAAAAAAAAAAAAAAAAAAAAAGAAAGAAAGAAAAGAAAGAAACCCATGGAGATACCCCTTTGATGCCACCATGCACTGGGCCGGGGCCCAAGGAACCCCCAGGCTGGAGGAGACAGAGGCAGGCACACACTCTACCCCACCCACTGGGTCAGTGCTAAGCTGGAAGGAGGGACGGGGAGGTAGAGGGACCTCAAGTGGTAAGAGGTTGGGAACGCTGTTGGAGGAGGGAACACTGTAGGTGAGCCTTGAGGGCTGCTGTTACCCCAATTCTTTTTCTTTCTCTTTTTTCTTTTTTTTTTTTTTTTTGAGACAGAGACTTGCTCTGTCACCCAGGCTGGAGTGCAGTGG